CTGGGCTTTTAAGGGCAGCATCATGGGGACGCCAGAAGAACCATGAGAGCAGCAGAGAAGCGGAAAACCATGAGAGGAGCAGAGAACAAGGTCACAAGAGAACTCCAGAGAGCCCAGAGTGAAGACTTGCTGGGGGCTGGGAGGCCTGCCAGCCTCCCGGCCCCCCGGGTACCTCTGCCTGCCATGTACCTGGTAAATCCCAATAAAAGCCTAAAGAAGCCACCAAGGGCTCCAGGACTCTCCTTTACCCCGTCTGCTTGGGTCATAGAAAACCTGCCCTGTGTCATCCTGCCCCTTACAAACATATTTACTTGATTTATCCAACAATATAGTTTCAACTGACAGTAACAATATGACTATAGAATCATGGAGTATACACAGCCCAAGGCTTGGGAGGCACTGGGAATTACGATGACTCAGCAATTTTTCCCTTAGGTGAAAAAGAAAGCAGGGGGGTGTTGCCCAAATGTTCATAGCTATCAACAGCCCACCGAGGCAAACAACCCAAATGTTCACCCACAGGTAAATGGATGAACGAACTGCGTCTTGTTCGCCCCTTGAGGGCAAGCTCCCAGGAGCCTGCTGGGTGCTGATCTGGTTATGGGTCTTCTGACAGGTGGGGGCTGTTCGGGTCACCAGGAAAACAGCCCACCTTTCCTCTGCACTGGGTGAGGTTCTGGAGGGTTCTCAAGCTAAGGGCAGGTGGGGGTGGGCCATCTGCCAGGGAGCTCAGAGTGACCTGGGAATTCAAGAGTCTCATCCAGATCCAGCCGGCACCCACCGTTTTAGGTTTCAGGCCCCACCGTGATGGAGAGCGCCTCCACTTGCAGGAGAACCCCGCGAGGCTGCCAGCTCAGCCTTGGCAGCAACCGCACAATCACCCCCGCCTGTTTTTCTGGGATTCCTGCCCATGACTGCAAGAGATGAGGCTGTATTTCAGGGCTGTCATAAAAGCCACCAAGTCTTCAGACCCGGAGCTGAGCTTAGGGACCCCAGCTTGCCATTTTTTCTGTAAACGTCAACACTGTGCTTGGGGGAGCTACCCCACGCCCAGCCCCTGCCCCTCAGGCCGCATCTCCCCAGGCCCAGAGGCCTTTGCTTCAGCTGCCAAGGCGGAGCTTCAGCAACAGTGACCACAAGGCCCCCAGCGCCCCATTTTCCAGGAGCAAGGAGCTCAGCAGGGCTGTCGTGGGGCCACACGGCCAGTCCCCTCTCCTGCCGCAGGGTCCATCTGCGGGCGCCCCTGCCGGCCCCGGTTCCGAGTCAGAGTTCAGGGGACAGAAACCAGAGTTATTTCATCTGAAGATTTCACACAAATATTTCTCAAGATTTCGAGGGTATTCAATACTAAGAAAAGTGCTTTTGAAAAATACCTTAGTGCGCCAGTGACATCCGAGGAGGCAAACGACGCAGGTGGGGCGGCCCTCCCAGGCTGGGGGCGCCTGGTGCCCGCTGGGCACCCGCTGGGCGCCCGCGCGCTGGCCGTGGGCAGGAGGCCCCCGTGGCGAGGCTGGCGGGCATCTTGGCAGGCCTGGCAAGCAGGAAACTCCCCACCAGGGAGCAACCGCGCCAACATGCCCGCGCAGGGGGCTGCTGGCTGGGCCTGCTGGCGGGAGGCCTGGTGCGGCGCGTGGGCTGCAGCTCCCGCGCCCGAGACAGACCCACCTGACCCTGGAAGAAGAGCCCCTGCCGGGGCGGCCTCCCTCCAGCGCCCCCTGTCGACAGGGTGGACATCACGCCAGGTGCAAACGCTGCAGACTCCAACTCACAGGGCCGGGCCAGGGGGATGGATTTGGGGGTGAGCCAATACATTGATAATAATGGACTGATTGGAAAGACAGTTTGGCAAGATATAAAGCCCATGACGCATACCTTTTTCTCGAATTGCTTTAAAATGTTGCTCTTCGGTCATGTGGATTTGCAGCTATTTTGAGGGATCTGATGCCAATGATTTTTTTTTTTTTTTTTTTTTGGTATGTGATCTGATTTTATGGCCTAGATTCTGAGCTTCTGAATTTATGACTTGTGGGGTCCTTTCATATGTTATTGCTTTTTTATTTATTTATTTATTTTTTTTTTAATAGAGGCATGCTTTATTTATTTGTTTGCTGGTTTGTTTGTTTGTTTTGTTTATACAAGCGCTGGGTACAGTCAGAAGCGCGGGAGGGTGAGAGAATTCACCAGAGCCAGAGCGGGGAGCAGAGCAGGCAGAAGGACCAAGGTACACTGCTGAGGGGAGCAGCGGGCGGCAGGAGAGGTCTGCGCGCCATGTGGGACCCTCCTCCGGTGGCCGGGGAGCAGCCGGGGATCGAACCGGCGCCGCAGAGGCCGCGGGCAGCTTTGCAACCCAGCGCTCAACCGCTGCGCCACTGGGGAGGCCCTCATATGTTATTGCTTAATTATAGCAATGATGGGAGTGTTGTGTTATAATTTCCCCATACTTTTGGCTGTTTATCCTGTTTGTACATATTTTTATATGCTCACAGTCATTTTTCTACTGAAAGTACTTTCATATGAATGCTTTCCATGTTTACTTGCATTGGATTTTCTGGGGTCAACGACAGTAGTGATGCTATAGGGAAAGGCCAGGGGCTTGGGTGGTTTACTTGATTTTCCAGTTCAATCATGCCCTATTTTGCTCCTTCAGTGAATTTAATACAATACACTTTTTAAAGTTATCATTATTAAAGGAGGTTTAGGTATCTTCATTATTTTTAGGTATCTTTAGTAAAGACAATTCCTTTAATAAAATATACTTTCTTGGGGTAGAGGAAGTCTGCCTTCTGATTGTGTTAGAATAGGATTCCCTGCCCTCCCCATATCTTATGAATCTATTTTTTTCCAAAGGCTGATGGATAAAACATATTTGATGAAAGTTAAATCAGAAAAGCTCAATCACTGTCCCAGTTATTCCTTGAATCAATGGGGGTGGCCAGGGGGACCCCACCTCTCCCAGCACACCAGCCCGCCCCATTTTCCTAGGGGTCAGCTGTCAGTGTGAATAGCCAGCAGACATCATGCATGTCACACTTGGTGGCTTTTGGCCCCATGGTAGTCATCTATTAAAGCCACACACGTATGCACGTTCTGCTCGAACCTCCACCCTGACCTTGTGACATTCACTGTAACAAAACGATCACATCACTGAACACCTAAGTTCAGGTCACACATTTCCGAGGGGGTAATGGCCGTGCTAAAATTTGATGGATGGAATAAACAGGAGGTAACGCGTTGGTGTTAGGGAGAACACCTCATAGACTTGGTAGCAGAAGGAAGCAGTTTGGCTGGAGTAAAAGGAGAAAGTGAAGGGGCAGGCAGGAGCCAGGCCACAAAGGTCAGAAGGATTACTTGTTTCTGTTGTTAATCACAAGGGCGATAAGAAGCCACTGATGTGCTTTTAAATATTTAGCACCTTAAAAAGCTTTGATGCCACAGAAAACTGAATTTAAGGGAGCCACTATGGAGCCCTGTTAGGAAGCCGTAGGCCGGGTGCCAGATGGGTATTGGCCTGAAGGAGGGTGAGAGATGTGAAAAGGATTGGAGACAAACGGATTCGGAGTGGAGGAAAAGAGTTGTCACGAACAATTCCCAGGTTCTAGTTTATACAACTCAACCAACAGTGATACCATTTGCCAAAGAAGGGAACAATGTGGGGAGGCCGGTCTGTGTCTGGGTGTGAATTTGGTCACAGAGCTGGGGTATGAGATGCTCGGAGCAGAGGTCTGGGTGGAGTTGAATGTGAAGCTGTGGGTAGACAGCAGGAGACTGAGGCCGTGGGCGGGCATGAGATTGCCAGGGAGAGCAGAAAGCAGAGGGCTTGGACTTGACCCTGAAGCCAACACCAACAGGCGCTGTGGAGGAGCACTCGCCTGCAAAGGAGATGGGGAGGATGTCCCCAGAGAGGACAAAGGGAGTGTGGGATCAAAGAGGTCAAGGATGCGGTGTTCCAAGGAGTAGGGTATGAGCAGGACTGGATGCTGCTGAGAAGTCAAGTAAAACAAGGGTTAAAAACCTGCCTAGTGGGGAAGGAAACCAGTGAGCAAGAGCCGTTCCTGACTGTGTTATGTATGTCCCCAGCTGGACTTCTTAAGGTCAAGGGTAGCAGAGGCCTGAGCAAACACATTTCCATCAATGTTCGATGAGGCTCGCACATTATGATCAGCCAGCGTTTCTGCTGTTGTCCCTCTCCCTCCTTCCAACCACCCATTTATCTTCAGATGCATTTGGAACTGGCCACTGACCACAGAGAAGTGGGTGGGAGGCACCCCTTGTCCCTGAGGGGCTCACAGTCTGTCAGGGAGACAAACACAAAGCCCAGTGTGACAGCTCACCTGCAGCGGGGTCAGGGGATGCAGCCTGTGCGTCTTGGGCATGGCCGTCTGGAAGTGAAGTGGAGCCCCAGGCTTCAGGGGATGAGCATCTGGCTTCATCTATTGCGGAGGCCAGGAGAGGCCTGGAAAGGGAGGGCCACCCTGCTGCAGGAGCCTCGGGTCACCTTCACAGCAGAATTCCTTTCTCTGTGCAGGCAGGACGAAGCTCATTTTGGTCACTAACATTAACTTTCTGTTCTCCATGAATGTGATCACACGTCTACTGAAACTTTCTGATGGTGTTCTCTGGAACTGGATGTGGTTCTGGCAAAGGAGAATGGCTCAAGTCCATCACGTTCTCAGAAAGCTCTGCCTCCAGGGTGGGAAAATGGGCAGCTCTGACCTCATAAAATAACTTCTCTTCAAGCATTTGGAGACTCGCCATTGGGGTTCTCTGCCACCCCCACCACCTGCCCCCCGCCCCAGAGTCGTTCCCAGTCTACCACTACACTCCACAAGACCAGTCTCCTCTAACTTGATGGAAATATTAAAATATGTTGCAAGCTGCTAGAAATTACAAATGCCCTGAAGTCTGCTGTTGTCTGCCTGGTGACATGTGCCTTTCTGCGGAGCCTGATACCAGCATCCTCGCATTAGAGTCCAGGGCCCACCGGAAAACCCGTGGCCGCAGGACCCATGCTCAGGAGCCGGCGGGCTTGCAGCTGGAGGTCTCTGCCTCTGGCCGACAAGGAACCATCTGGACTTTCCAGAAAAAGTAAGAGTCCAAGAGTTTTAAAGGATTTATTTGATTTCTCCACATGATCACAGCTATGGTTTTACATCAAGAGTCTGTTACTACTCACAAACAGAATGCATATTCAAACAAAAGCACTCCTATCCTCCCCAAAGTTACACAGTGGGTGCCCGGCTTCTTGGGAGTGAGGTGTCCCTTGAAGTCTTTGAACAGTCTGCGTTCACGACCTGATGCTAATCATTTGATAAAACAACTTGGAGGTGAAGGACAGCTCCTGAGAGGAGAGGGGACTGCATGTGACCTTGGCACAACCGCAGACAGGACAGTGGCCCTACTGCGCACTCGAGGCGCGGTGACTCAGCCCCTCCTGCTTGTCCCTCCCTGCCACCCCCACGCCACGCCGATTCACTTTGCAACCTGTTTCCTGATGCTTGTGGTTGTTGTTTAAAATACTAAAAATTACTGGTTTCTCAGGCAGGGAGGTGATGATATTTTACAACGAAAACTGGAAGATGCATGCTTGCGTGTGGAGATACAGCTTCATATGGAACGCTGAGTCAACACTTAAGGTCATTGTTTAAATATCTGCTGTCTTTTCAGCTCGTTTGAAAGGGAGAACAAGCGGCTTCTGCTGCATGCAGTGCGTGATGCGAGAACCACTCTCCACTGGAGACATTTTTAAGCAAGATGTGCACATCATACTGGGATGAACTTTATTTTTACATTGTTGTACAATTCATTCGTAAACTTAAAAAAAAATACAAATACATGTTTTTTCCTTGTTGTCCCAGAAAAGATTCTGTGATGCCATCAGCTGCCTTCTCTAAGGGTCTCCTGCTCCTGTCAGAAACTGCTGTGTAATTGGAGTAATTTGTGCGACTTGAGAGTGTCCCAAGTGTGTCCTGACAACAGCAAGGGTGACACAGGCGTCTGGGGATGCTCAGCCTCCTGCTCCCACCCCAGGGGTGTGGAGGCCGGGTCCCCGGCTGTGAGGCAGGTTGGGAGCGACAGAAACACTGGTCCCTGAAAGCAGTGCGGGGGACACGGATTAAAGGAAGCCTTTGCTTCCCAGACAAGAGTTGGGCAATGTGACTCCGATCGCCTCGCTCAATGTGCTTTTGGAAACACTTCCTGTGACAGGTTTGTGTAGGCACAGCGCGATGGGACCCCTGACCTGCATCCTGTGCGCTGCACGAAGTGGGAGACTCGGGAGGGACTGAATTTGTTCGAGAAGCCGGCTCTCACTAGGTCCAGACCTGTGCACCCTGAGAGCGGCAGGACACACCGTGACAGTTCTGGACGTGAGTTCTAGACGGGCTGTGGGGGACAGCCACGGAGAAGGAGGCCCCTCCCCCGGCGAGTGTCTTTTTCCTTCTCTTTGTTTTTTTTTTTCACAGGGAGGTCCCCTGGAGAGGGCCGTCTTGTACGAGAGAGCCTGTATCTTTTCTGGAACAACCTAGAGTTTACAGTTAGACCCTACCATTGGTACAGAGGCTGAAGAAAAGCCGACATATTTAATATGTTATCACTTTACTTCAACTATTTGTCAACAGTAACACTGATATATTTTGCGAATATACAACACAGAGTGTGGCCTCACACGTCTGACGCCGGGTGACATGCAACTCGACTCTTCCTGGTCACAACAACATCCTTTAAACTCAAGACAGAGAATGCCTGACTCCGAAGGGAAACCCGGGGGGTCTCGACGTCCATGGCCCTGGGGAGCCTCCTGCCAGCCCAGCCGGGCCAAACCTCCACGCCCGCGCTTTTTCTTCCTCTTCCCGAGCAGAGCCCGAGGGAGGAGGGCACCGCTGGGCAGAGGGAGGCGGGCGGGCGCCAGTCACGCGTGCTTTGAAAGGCTAAACCCTAGATCGCTGGACTTGCCCTCTGTGGAGATTAACAAAGTGCTCAGTTTGCAGATTTGCTGGTATGGTGACCTCAATGACAAGACATGGGGGCGGTGGGGAGGGGAAACGGGTGACGCGGCCGGCCCGCCAGGGTGGGCTCCCCTCTGTCCTCCTGCCGTCCGGCCCGCTCGCCACGCTGTCCGCAGAGCGCGCCCCCAGGCCCGCAGTCCTGCGCTAGCTTCGCCCTTTCTGAAAGGGCCCTCGGCCTGGGCAGGTGCCAGGGGGCAGTCCTCGGGTCCCACGGCTTAGGAGCAGAGCACTGGCGGCTGCAGTGGCTCGAAAGGCTGAAACTACAAAGCAGGGCCCGTGGGTGACTCGGGCGCAGACCCCCACGCGTGCGGCGCCTGGCCCCGGGGGAGCGGAGGGTGTCACCACAACACGGAAGCGACAAGAGCACAGCTGAGTCATGTGATGCCCTGGCAGCTAACCGGACCATGAGAAGGCAGCGGGGGCGTCGCTGGAGAGGGCCGGCACTCGCACCGGGCCGGGGGCCGCGGGATGACACGGGTTGTGCTAGCACATGGCTACATGGAATCACGATGATCACAGCTACCACTCAGAAAACAAAAACGGGAAACACACACACCGCCTGGGCTTCTAAACGCTAGACTCAACCTTGGGGGACGAGTGGGCCCCGCAGGAAGACCACTCGGGGATCCTGCCTGCTGAGGCTGGAGACTGGATGAGGACATTATGGTGCAGGGAGACGAGGATGAGAGCTGGTCGCTGTCATGTTGGAGATGGATACCTCTGCGTGTCGGGGCCCTCGTGGAGGGCTCGGGATGAGTGTGCATTAAATCAGATGCATAAAAAAGAAATATGATCATGGAGATTCACAGTTATCGCAGCCATTAAAGTGTCTAAGAATCTGTGTAACCAGTGCTCCAAGACGACCAGTTCTCCACTGGCGTCCCGAGTTGCTACTGTAGAGTTAACTGCATTGTATCTATATGCTTACCTGAAATAAGAGAGCAGTTATAATACTGATTACTTAGGATAGTATTCTGTTAATAAAATAAGGATCTATACAAAGCAATATTGGACTTTTAAACAGATGCTATGTTACTTGGCACAGTAGTAATGCTTTAGCGTAAAGACTTCAGCCAGTCCTAGACTCTTCTCTTCTTTTTATGAAAATATGAAAGTATCTGAACATGTTCCTAGCATTTAAGTTTTTGGTCTATTCTCTCACACATTCATCTAAGGTACTGTCTTCCTAGCAGGTAAGTGGAGCTCCTTGTAATGCCTATATTGCTAGTTCTGTGGGCAGAAACGTTTCCCTTTCACACACAAATACTACCTATACAGTATATATATATATTTATATATTTATATATTTATATTATATAAAGTTTACTTACGTATTTTCATCAACCATAATCAGGTCTACTAATTTTTTGCCCATTGTCAATAAAAGAGCAATAATGCAGCAAGTTTTGGGTTTTGTTTTGTTTTGTCTCTGGTGTTGTGTGTCTCGCTTCTTCTTTTCCTAGGCTGGGTTTTCATATGCGTGTACAGTCAGGGAGCGGAGAGCTGAGGGCTGCGTGGGGCGGGGGCAGGTCAACATCTACGCGGCCGGTGGCACCGTGTCAAGGCTGGTGGTGGCCGAGGCCCACCCCTCGGGTGGGGAGGATGAGCCCAGGGCGCCAACACTAACTTAAATTGGGAGCCTTGTTCCCTGTATCGTGGGCCCGGGGGGGCCAGGGGGCTCCATCCAGGCCTTGGGAAGCAGAGGGGAGCGATAGAAACAGGTGCCCTGGGTCTGGTCTGAGGCTGGCGGCCCCGCCGGCCTCTGTGTGTGCGGTCGTTTCCGAGGAACCTGGGACCCCTGCCCAGGCTGTCTACACAATTGTGCTGATGCCACTAGGTTTGGCCTTGCTGCTGGTGGGGGGCGGCGGGGCGGGGGGCTGCCCGTGGTGGTGCGCTGCGTGGCCCAGGTGGCCAGAGTGGCCGACGTGGGCCGAGGGCAGCGGCGCGTGGCTGTGGGCGTGGGCCCCGTAGGGAGGGTGCCCCCCGTGGGGGCCATGGTGGTACTGGTGTGCGTGCTGGATGTGCTGGGGCGGGTGGTAGTGGTGGTGGTGGTGGTATGGGGGTGGGTTCTGCTGCAGGTGGCAGTACTGGGTGTGGTGCCCATGCATCTGGGCCGGCGACGGGCCCTCTGTGGGCCCCTGGTGGTGGCCGGCGGAGGCATGCTGCGGGTGGGGCAGGCCCGGCGGGTGGGGGGGCGGCTGCGGAGGGGCTGAGGGCGGGTGGGCCTGGGGAGGGGGCTTCCCTCTCTTACTCCCAAATAAGGAGCCCAGGAGGGAGGATGAGTTAGGCATAGTCTGGTGTGGGCGAGATGGACACTCTCGTGTTGATGTAGCTCTCCGGCGCATGTGAGGACTGCTAATGATGGACCCCTAAAAAGGAAATTCATAGAAATCAAAATTAAAAGACCTTAAAGCACTTACGCCAGAATGATTAAAAAAAAAATGTAAAAAGTTCACCCAACTGACTGCTAAGCCTTAGATCAACTCGCTGGTAGCAGAGGACGGGGCAGGTGAGGCTGACTCAGGCCCCACCCCTCAGCATGCTAAGTGGCAGGGCAGCTGGGGCCGAGGGGTGACAGGTGGGGAGGGGAGCCCTTCTCTGGCTCTGCAGCACCTCTTGCTCCTGAGCTCTCCTGACTCACACCTTGTGCAGCAGCTGCCCAAGCTTTTGGACCAGAGCTTGTTTGGGGGTGTCTGTGAGCGGCATGTGCTGAATGGCATGGGGCGGGCTGGTGTGCATCGAAAGGAGCCCCGCTGCTGCTGAGACTGCACCCTAATCTCTCCTCAGTGGGTCCGAGAGCATTGCTCGGCCTGTGTGGGTCCCAGGGCTGCTGGGCAGGTGGTGAGAGGGTCAGACGGGGCCCAGGAGCCTTGTCCTGGGGGGCGGGGCTGGAAGCCTGCCTGGGCGTTTCACTGCGGCTACCTACTGCAAACCAAACAAGGAAAAAGAAGGAAACGGAAAAAGATCAGCAAGCTGAGGTCAAGATGTGAACAGTCATAGAGATGGGCGGAGGATGAATGAAATCTCATGAAATCCACACTGATTGTTCTTCCTCACAGCTCTCCTCCTCCCCCGCGCTAGCTAAGCGATTCCGTGGTGCCCTGATGCAGACACACAGCAATCGACACTCCAGGAGGCAGCGATGGGGATGGCGGAGCATGGAAGTCAAGAGATCGGCAGAACACCCGACAGCAAGGGCGAGGGTGCACGGGTGCCCGTTGGCCGGTGCCCCCCACCCAGGGCCCTGGGCGTGGGGGTGGCGGGGAGTGCCGGGAAGCCGGGGATGTTAACCATGCTCGGGACCACCGGGGACGGGGGGGGGGGGGGTTAAGCGGGAACTAAAACACAAAATCCAGAACCACCCCCCACCGTTCCGGCCCAAACAAGCAGTGAGAGGCACGGGCGACTCTAGGCGAGGGAAGCCGGCATGCACTGGGTCTGAGGCAGGCGGGGGACAGGACACACGTCCGCGCCTCTGTGCAACGGGGGAGGAAGGAAGAGCAAAAAAATAAAGGACAACAGGTATAAACCAAGGATGGGGCAACACAGGACAGCCAGCTGGACATAGGCGCTTCCTACTTACTTCCACATTGCTCTCTAGCGATCCCGCACTGCTGCGACGCCCTCGCTTCCCTGCCCAGAACATGCAATACCAGAGGTTAGACACGGACACGAGGCCGGGCGCTGCCTGCCTGGCACTGTGCCGCCGCCGCCACCAGGCTCAGGTACTGGGTCCACCTGCCGCAGGCCCAGGCGTGGGGGTCGGAGGAGGGGACTCGGTGGGGAAGCCGGCAGCAGGGCAGTAATGAGTTCCAGAAACAATAGGGTTATTCAAAAGTAAAAAAAAAAAAACTTTTTGACCAGCCCCAATTTTATACCCCTTCTCCTGGAGCGGCAGTCTGCGGGGAGAGGGCCTCTGGGTGGGCTGAGGCGGGGGCACAGGGGGGCAGGCGCCCCAAGGGCTGATGGGACGGGGTGAGGGCAGCTTCTTCCATGGCTACAAACAGACAAAACGTGGCCCTGCACACCCTGACCTCGGTGGATTTCATATACGTATGCACATCCACATACATACATACATGTGGAGCTGCCCCTCTCTCAGTGGGGTAGGATGGATGGGGAGGGGGAAACGTAACTTGGTGTCCTGAAATCCAGCAGCAGCTCAATGTGCCAGAGCCTCTGGGCCAAGTGTTTGGTTTGTGCAGTGCCCCAGCCAGGCCGGGAGTCGCGAGGATGTCCCCTCTGTGGGCCCTCCCTTCCCCGGGTGCCACAAGCATTCCCTCGGGCATGCGTGCTCTGGGCCAGCGTCATTCTAAATCCCCAGTGGGTGGCACCCCGTAGGCACTCAGGTGTGGTGACTCTGTCAGAGGAAAGCTGAGGGTTCCCCTTGGTTCTGGGTACCCAGGGCCAGCCTGGCCTCATAGTCTCTCTGGGTACTGCTCTCTGGAGTTCTGCAGGACTCTCGAGGCCGGTCAGTGGGAGTGCTGGTGCCAAGTTTAGGGTTCCAGTTTCCGGTCCTCTCCCAGGCACATGGGTGGGAACAGGGGGTGAGCCGGGGCATGGCACTCCCAGTAGGCTTCCATGAGTCCAGGCCCATGACCATGCAAGACGGGCATCCCTCTGTGCAGGCCATGGGAGTGGGGATGGGGGCTCTGGCGGTGGGTGATGGCCTGATTCCTAGTGGGCAGGCCTCAGCCCCAAGTCATCCTGTCCATGTCTGAACTGCCAGGCCAGGTCCAGGCTCCTAGGAGGTAGAAGAGTCTGCCTCCCTATGACCCATACCCTGGCCCAGCACTGGATGGTGGGAAGGGTTGGTGGGTTGTTCAGGTGTCACTGGTGGCTCCTGAGTATGCCGGGGACAGAGCCTTGGTCCTGGTGATACCATGGGAGGCTCAGGGACTGTTTGGTCCTCTTTCTTTGCTGTCAACCTCCAAACCTGAGTTCCAGCTGGAGCCTGGAGTCTACAGAAGGCCTCATTTGACCAGCACATGGGAGGGCCTCAGAGTCCACTCAGGACAGTGTCTTCTCCCATGTGCCAACTACTAGGGAGATCCATGGGGGCCTGTCCCTTACTCCTGGCTGAGGGAAGCGCGGCTGACCTTCCCTTCCTCCTCTGGGCCAACTCAGTGGCCCAGGCATATGAAGCAGAATTGGAATCCAGCCTTTGAGCAAGAGGCTTTGCTGGGAGGTGACCCACTAATACTCCTTTCCCTCTCAACCTCAGTGTCTGCAGCTGGGAAATGGGCATGACCCCCTTCTGTTCTGGGGGGCCCAGAGCAAACACTTGGGACACAGACCCCATGCCAAGACGTCAGCACTCAGGGATCCGTGGAGCTTTTTAATCAGCTCTGGACCCTCAATGGCCTGGGGGATTCCTGAGAGACTGAAAACCAGGGCCAGAAGAGAGATGGTGGCCCTACCATGCCCAGTGACGCCTTCCAGTTGGGCTGCTTCTCCCAGGGAACTTGGGCCAGGCCTGGAGCTGGGGCTGCCACCAGATGGTGTCCCAGGGGAGAGGGTGCACGGTCCTCCATTTCCTCCCACTGCCCAGCGTGGGCTCAGCCTTAGGAGACCTTCACTGTCTTCTGGATCTCTGAGTGGCACTGAGTTTCTCAGAATTCATCTTTTCAGTTACTCATATCAGCAGCAGGGGTGAGTGTCCCGAGGGGAGCTCTTGCACTCTGTTCACGGCAGACTCAGTCTGGTGTGTGCTCACGTGCAGTTTACCAGTGGTGCTGAAGCAAAAGGGGCCATGCCCATGCATCCATCTCTCCTTTTACTTGCACTCTCTGGCTCCTGCAAGAGACTCAGGTGAGCCCCACCCCAGCCAGCAGCATTTCTGGAGCCAGAGCAGACCCTGCTAGCCACGACTGGGATCAGGAACCACATCTGGAAGGGCTCCGACGGCTCTTCTTGGCTGTGTCCTGCTTCTCAGCCTCAGCACAGGGTGTGGGCTCACCTTGGGATCCTCAGCAATGCTAGGGGTTGGGCAGGTACACCTGTGCCAGGCCCTGCTGGAAGATTGGCTCTCACAGCTATCCTTGGGGGGAAGTACTATCCCCCACTGTGCAGGTGGGGAAACAGAGACCAAAGATGTGGCGTGGCCAGGGCCCAGAGCTAGTGGACAGCAGGCAGAGGACCTTGCTGGTGTGACTCTGAAATCAGTGTGCTGCGAAACCCTTGGCTGAGCTCTGCCTGGGGTGGGGTGGAGAGTGACACAGCCATCTGGAGTGTGGACATGCCCCCAGCAAGCCAGTCCAGGGCTAGTTCACGTGCAGAGCGCTTGTCATGGGGCAACCGGTATGGCTTTAGACATCAGCTGCCAGGAGACGCTACTCTCTCCAACAGGACAGCCCTGGTCCAGGACACAGCAGATCTCAGCTCTACTCCTGGGCCTCAGCTCTACTCTGGGTCTGCAGACAGATCCGGTGGCTCCCAGGAGATGTCTTCTCATGGGGACTGGCGTCAGGCAGCTTGACTGGGAGGGGCAGGAGGACTGTGGGCGAACAGGGTCGACCATAACTTGACTGATTTGGGGCAGGAGCTAAGGCCCAGTCACCCCTGTGTCTGTAGTCCTGCTTGATTTCAGGCTGGGAGGGCTCCGGGGTCACTGAAATGTGCATGGGACCCTTGGCTGAAGACCAATGGAGATAGCCGGCAAGGACTTGAGGCTCAGTGGGGAGTTGGGGTGGGCACCCAGGCCTCTTCCTTCCCTTCCTCCACCTCTTGGAATGTTCAGATGCTCCCAGAGGCATTTGCTGCTGGGCTTCCTCCTAAGCTATCGAACCTTGACGGCCTGTCAGGTCCCCATGGTTCACGCCAGGCTGAGGCTGCATCCCTGAAGGTGCACAGGTCCAGGCAGCTGCTCGGGACGCAGCTATGACAACTGCTGTGTTTGCTTTCCTGAGGGGAGAGGGCCCAGAGGCCTAGTCTCTTCTCAACAAATTCACCGGTGAGGGCACAGGGTTGGGCAAGAGGGAGTCTCTGGACAGCTTCACTCCTGACCTAGCCCAGGGCACAGGATTCCATGTCTCCAGCTGCAAGTCCAGCACCTCTGGGAAGGCTGTCAACATTGGCCTGTCTTGGAGGTCTTGGGTAGCCCGTTCCTGGCTGCCAAGGCTCAAACACCTACCTCATCTTGCCCTCCAAATTTCCTTTCCTGGGATGTCTTTTAATTATGGTATAGGACCTGAGAGGTCTCCATCCCTAGAGTCCTGCTCAGCCCAGAGTTCTCGAATGACAATGGCAACAGCAACAGTCAGTGGAAAGCAGCCAGGCCTTGGAACCTATCTCTCACATGGTTATGGGCCTGGGGCGCTGCTTGGCCCCTCAGCCCTGGCAGAGGGTGAACAGTTAAGGCCTGATCACTGGGACCTGGAGTGGGGGTGGCTGGCCAGGCCATGTTAAGAACCTTTGTTCTGCTGGAAGGGGGGCTGGACAGGACCCTATGAAGCTCCAGGGGCTTCATCAGATAACAGAGAGGGCAGGGCCTGCTTCACTGCACAAACTCAAACAGAGGCCTTGGGGCCCCAGCCTGCAGGGCTGCCCAGTTATATTTAGCTGAGTTAATAAGCCACGGGAAAACCAGTGGTTCTCAACCAGGTGTGAGTTTGCAACCAGGGGCGATCTTGTCTCCTAGAGGCCACCTCGAAGTTTTTGGAGATGTTACTGAGCGTCGTGACTGGGGGAGATGTTAATGGCATTGAGTGGGCATAGGGCAAGGATGCTGCTGAACACCCCACAATGCACAGGACGTCTCACAGCAAGGAATCATTCAGCACGGCATGTCCATAGTGCCGGAGTTGAGAAACCCTGGGTTAATCCTCATGCTGGCAATGGATTTCTGATTTTCACTATGGAAAAAATAATGACGAACAAAACCGAAGGAAAAAAGTCCAACTCAAAAAAAAAAAAAAAAAAAAAAAGGGAAAAGAAAAAAAATTTCTGGGAGATGAGTAAGTAAGCCATCGTGAGGCGGAGCTGCTGTCAGGGCAGGTGTGGGATGGTCATGAGGAGGCTCTCTTAGGACCTCCGCCCGCAGCTGGCCACATGGTAAGACCTGGGGCAGGGTGCCTAGGAGGGGAGGTGCTGATCTAGACCTGACAGGGTCTTCCCCACCAAACCAGGGGGGCTACTCAGGGTCCTGGGGCTGGGACACGTGGGGATTCAGGGCAGGTGGAGCCTAAGGTCACATGCCAGCGACTGCCCCTCACAGCCTCTGCTCCACTGCTGCCCCTGTGCCTCCTGCCAGGAGAAGCGCACCAGCTAGGCATAACTCCAAGGGGCTACGGGCTGCCAAGGTGCCTGCCCTCACTCCGTAGCTCCTCTGAACATGCCAGCAGGCAAAGCAGGCTGGAACAGCACTCGCAGGCACTCTGGGTCTGTGCCCACACCCTCCTTCACCTGCCCAACAAGGAGGGCTGGGCTGGGCAGGGGCTATGGGCAGAAGTTCCCTACTTCCTGAGGCTCACAGTATACCCCCACCCTCTCCCTTGGGGAAATCTAGGAGGCTTAAGGGGTGCTGCTTGCTTGGGGGTTAAGAGGCTGGCAGCAAATCAAACACACACAGAAACAAACAACAAAAATCACAGTTTGGCCAGCTTTACCCCTGGGCAGCCCAGGGCCAGCCATGGCTGAGGTGGCCGCTGCCTCTGGGCTGAACAGAGCTGCACAGCTTTCCCAGGAAAGGAGACCCTCTGGGGGAAAGCGAGACCAGGGACAGCAGAAGAGGGGTCCCCAGACAGTTTAAAGGGCTTCACTCAATTTCATTCATCAGCATAAAACACAGGGACGCGGCAGCAGAGCACACGGGCACATCTGTCAGCGGGGCCTGGCTGGCTCTGCACAAGAGCAATTTCCAGAAAATAAGAGAATCAACAAAACCCCTAGAAGCAGAAAGACAGAAAAGGGGTAACCTCTGGCTGTTCTGCCTTGGACAATATGGTGATGTTTTCGCTTGCCTTTTGGGGGTACCCTCTATCTGATCAAATGCTGCTGTGGTTTGGGGTCGCTCATGGAAACCCACCAGAGCATCGGAGCTGGGCTGCCACCAGCCACCACCACGGTCACATCCCCGCGCGCATCGCATGCCCCAACCGCCTCCGTGCCTGGTCTGAGTCCTGCATGCATCGGGCTAGGAAGGTGGTCCTAGGCCTGGCCCTTACCCGCTTCAGAGAGGTCCCGCAGGGAGCTGCTGAGGGCGCTGCGCTTGAGGCCCTCGCTGCTGGCATAGCTATCGTCCAGGCAGGCCCGGCTCAGGGTCCCGTTGCCTGGGTCCTTCCTGAGGCTGGAGCACTGGGATGTGCTGGGCCTCACGACACCTTTCTGCTTCTCCAGTTCCGCTGAAAGAGAGAGGCGAGGGCCCGTGAAAAGAGTGCATCCCCGAGGGGCCGGGACCCTCTAGGAGGGCAACGCAGAGCATGGGGGCCCTCTGTCTGGGGTTGGCACTGTACCAAGCTGCCATCTTTCTGGAGTGGGGAGAAATAAGGGCAAGGGTTGCCTTGAGAAAGAGAAGGTGAGATGGCAACAAAAGGGAGCTGAAAGGAACCCAAAGGGACATCAGAGGGGCCAGGGCACTTGCATATTCCTGCACCTCCAGGGAGTGTGGTTTGGAGCCACGAGGGGCTGGGATTAGAGTCGGCTCTAAAGAACCCAGGGGCTGGCCTTGGGTGTGACCCCATCACCACTCGCCTCTGATGTGGAAGGTCAATAAGCAACCATGTTGAAGTGTAAAGGGCTCGGCTCCAGAAAGTACTATGTGGCCTCAAGGGCAGGCTGGGTCTGGGGCACTGAAGCTCTCTAGGCCTCTGCCTTCCCCTCCTCTCTCCGTGGTGCTTTCTGTGGCTTGGAAACTTTGTCCCTGCCAGGACATTGTCCCTGCAGGAGTCACTGCCCCAGATGCGACTTACACTCTATCCTGTGCTTCTCCATCTCCTGCACCTCCGCGATGGACTCCCGCAGGTCATCTGTGAACTTCTTCCGATCTTGAGGGTTGGGGGCATTGAAGTTTATTAACACTTTGATGTCAGCTCCAGGGATGGCTGATGTGAGCCGGATGCCGTTGGGGTAGTCTGCAAAGGAAGAGGGGAGGCCTGTGGGTCACCTCTCTCCTGGTCAGGAAAATACCAATCTCTCTGAGCTCAGGTGGGCATGAGGCACGCTGAGGCCAGGCTCTCTGCAGATGTGTCTGGCGCGGAGGAGAGGCCTTCCCCCTAGACATCAGGACTGCTAGACTGTGTCTCCCTCTGACCTGGGTCCAGGCTGCTCCAATGCTGGCCAGGGCAACATCCAGTCACCTGGTCAGTTCTGAGACCAGCCCCAGCTCTGTTCTCTCATGAATGTCCTCCAGACCCTCAGCTCTCTTGGAGTACACTGTGAGCACCCAGAACCCAATGCACTCTATGCTGAGTACAGTGTCTCTGTGCTCAGACCTGCCTGGAGCCACCTTCAAGTTCTTGGGGCTTGGTGTCCTAAAACAGCACAGACCTCCTCAGTGGAAGTTACCCACTGAGCTCTAGCACCTTTACTCAGATGAGGTCAGGGTTGGGAACTCAAACATCTGGAGACTGGAGTGAGCTTCCAAAATGTGGGAAGAGGTGAGACTTAGCAACTGATGAGGGGGAGCAGCGCAGAGCATGGGGGAGGGGAGCATTGGGGAGGGTGTGCAGCTAGCAATTGTCAAGAGGAAATTGGTGATGTCAAATCTTGTTTTTCAGGAGAAGCCAAAATTATCTAAATTTTAATATAAAGATTTAAGTATCAGCTCAATAAATGTTTGAAAATGTGCAAACCAGGCGTAGCAGACCTCTCCTGACTCACCCGCTGCTCCCCTCAGCAGTGTACTTTGGTCAATCTGCCTGTTTTGTTCCCCACTCTTTCTGGTGAATCTTCTCACCCACCGCATCTCTGGCCTGTACCCCACCTCTTATATGCATAAATAAATAAATATTTAAAAAAATTAAAAAAGAAAAAGAAACTGTGCAAACCAGACATAACGTAAGCGAGATGTGCCTAACCAACAGGCACCCAGGATGAGAGCCCTGATGAAGGCAAGCGCGGTGAGAACGTCAGGGACTCCTGTCAGCACCTGGTGTCCCAGCCTGAGGGCTGAGCCCTGGAACCCATGGCGGATGCAGTCCTGGTGCACTGCTGGGAGAGCCAGCCGCCCGCCACCCCTCCCATAGGGGACCTGCTGACGGGGCCTGTGCAGGGGACACCTACTTCCCTGGGGCCTCCTGGCAGAACGAAGTCAAGGCAGGCCTCTGGCAAGGGGTGCCAGAGGTGGGGAGATGGCTGGGGTCATCCTTGCGGGCATGGAGAAAAGAGGGGCAAGGGAGGTGCCAGTGCCAGTTACGACAGAGAAGGGGTAAAGAGCCCCCAGTCCAGCCCTCGGGCCCTGTGTGTGTGGCTGGCCAGGCCACATATCCCTGGCACTTTCCCACCGCAGATTTGAGGCTGATCATGAGCAGACAGCGACCTGCCAGAGAGGAGGCATGAACACCGTGCTGGGGCCCTGTGACACTCCATTCTGCAGCCTCCCCTTGGCCTACTCCAGAGAGTACAGGGCAGTGGTACCCCCACCCTGTACCCCATCTCAGAGGCCTCCAACAGGGAGGGGACAAAGGAAAAGAGATGGGTGTGGTAAGTGAGATGAGCAAGGAGGAGTCAGCTTCTCTCCAACACCTCCATGTCCCTGAGCCCCACTCACCCCCAAAAGAGGCCTGGCAATAGCATCTAAAAATCCATCCTGACCCAGCACCTCCCCTGTGCCAGGAGCTCTTCCAGCACTTTCTGTGTAAGGACTCATCTAATTCTATGATGTAGTCCCTGCCATCATCCCATTTTAGGACAAAGGGAGTGCAGTCCAGAGAGGCCAAAGGCAGGCCCCGAGGACAAACTTACACTGGTTCTCGAAGAGCAGGACCTGCATGCCGTACAGGGAGAAGGACTGTCGGAAACTGTACGTCACCGAGTTCTTCTTCTTCTGGAAGATCTTGGTGACCTGGGGGATGCCAGAGACAGGCCGAGTCGTGTTGTGCATGGCCCCGAAGCAGTTCTGAGAGCTCAGGGTTCTGAGCGGGTCTAAGGTGCTCTCCTGCGGGGAACCCGGTCTGCAGCCCAGAGGTCTGGAGGTCCCCGGAAATCATGTCCTTCCTAGCTGACCTACGATGCCATCCTGGCAGGCAACAATGACCTTCAATGCAGCAGAGAAGTGACAGGCACATCACAGGGCTCAGGCCCCCAAAAGGCTGGGAGTAAGTCTCCAATGTCCAGGAACCCATCTGACCACTGTAACTCTGAGAGATTAACTTTACAGGGGAGGAAAGTGAGACTCAGATCTGAAGTGACCTGCTTGAGGTCAGAGGCTTTTAAAGGACTTCTGCCCGCACATCTGGATTCCAGGCTCACTCAGAGAGACAGCCGTTCCCATTGCCGCCTTACGTACAGAGACCAGGGCATGGTCCAGGCAGGGAAGAGGCCTCCAGCAAGAAAGCCCATGGCACGGAGGGCGGACAGGACATCAAAGCACAGGTGCCCTGTCCTCTGCCAGACATCATGAGCTCACATCTGTTCTACCTATTTTCAGGCAAGAGCTCCTCAATTTCCCTTTGGGGGACCCCTCTTTGCCAGTTTTAGTTGATTAGTTCTGGAGGTTGGCTATGACCTCGGCTTAGCACCATCCCTACCCCTCATGCCCTAAGAGGCTCAGGCACAGGCAAGAGTGGGGACAGGATTAACCTGGCGTTGCCAAGGCCAACTTCGCCTTCGTGGACACCGGCTGCCTGAGAAGGGAGCCTGCACAGCTGAGAGACATGGTAAGTGGAAAGGAAACGTGGAAGATACAGTTTGAGCCTCTAGGAACTGTGGGAGTTGAAGCCCCAAGCTGCTCTCTGGTATCATAACCAAAGAGCCAGGGCTATCTCCCAATCCCGTCCATCACCTTTACCCAACACACAGCAGAAGGAACAGGGCTGCAGCTCCAGGCCGCCCTGCACCAGGCCCCCAGTCAGCACACCCGGGAACCACGTACCACCAGGAGGTCATTAAACAGGAAGATCTCTCGCTGGTGCAGTCCGAGTTTCTGGGGCTTATTTGGGTCTGGAACCTCGAAGAGCCGGCAGTAACAGACCAGCCGCCGGTGGGGCAGCGAGAGCACCTGTGCGGGAGGAAGAGCTGTCAGCTACTGCCCCTCCTTCAGCCCAGATGCCCAGAGATCGGCCTGCGTGCTGTGCTGGCCCTTTCTCTGGAAAACCGTGCAGATCAGGTGTTTGCAGTGCAAATTTCCTTGCTGTCTCCCCAGGAGCCTCTGGAAGGACCCCTAATTCTGGTGAGATGTACTTCCCACGCAGGCAGGGAGCTCCTTGCTTAAAGAGGCACCCCGGGCAGAGGAGGGACAGGTTCTGTGTTCCCACAAAATGTGTGCCAGATACACATGCTTCTCAGTCCTTGCAAACATTTTCCCAGAGTCTCTACGAGGTGGGGAAACTGGAACAGAAGGCTGACAAACTTGCTGTAGACACAACTGGGAGCTGTGGAGTCAGGAGCTGATGCTGGCCCCAGTTTTCCCGCCCTCTCAAAAATTTCAGCAGTTCGGATGCCTGCAAGCCCCTGTCTAAGTCCTGAGCTAGCAGCGTCATGCTCTGGCCTCCACTCTGCACACCTGCCTTGTAGAGTCCTGCTGTGCAGTCACACAAGCCCCAGTCCTGCCAACAGCCCTCATGGCACAAAGCCCAGAGGCTGGAGGACCAGCAGGGAGAACCAGGCATGGCTCTGGGAGTACCCAGACTCACTCACAAGGCAGGGGAGTCAGTGAAGAGCCGGGACATGTCTGGGTTAAGTGCCACTGCAGGCAGGGAGGGAAAGGCGTGGATGGCTTGGCGTGCTGAGAGGGGAGAGCTGCTTAAAGTCAGAGTCTCCCTGGTGGTGCAAAGGGTTAAGTCTCAGCACTATGAAGCTATCCACAGCCATGGCAGCATGAGTTCAATCCCAGCCAGGGAGCTACCCACACAGTGCAGGAGACTTCTCTTGCCTCGCCCGCTGCTCCCCTCAGCAGTGTTTTTCAGTCAGTCTGCCTGTTCTGCTCCCCACTCTGTCTCTGGTGAATCCTCTCACCCCCTGCACCTCTGTCCTGCACCCCAGTTCTTGTATGCATAAATAAATAAATCTTCAAAAAATAAAAATAAAGAAAATAATAAAATCACAGTGCCAAGGTGGGAGGGTGGTGCGACATGAGGTTGGGGAGGTGGGCGAGGGCAGGTCATGCAGGAGCATCCAGGAAAGCTGGAGGCGGGGGCTGACTGAGAGGCCTGCAGTTGGACTCCCCAGGGATGGGGTGTATACACTGTGCCCGCCAGGCTAGCGTGTTTGTGCATGCACATTTGTATTCCAAGGCTTGCAAATGTGCTTGGGTGGTGGTGGTGGAGACGGTGAGGGAGGTGCAGTCACCAACCCGGGCAGGACACCACTCGGAATGTGAAGCAAAGGGAGGGATACTCACACAGCCAAGCCCGTGATGCAGGGATCCAATCTGCATGGGGAACAGGAAACAAGCAAAAGAAGACATTAATGTTCCAAAAGGTGCACCTGGGCTTGAGGGCTAACGGTGACACTGTGGCAGAGGGGCAGTGCCCCTCCCACCCCAGGGCAATGCAGCTGGGCTGGATTCCAAGGGGACTTGAGAGGACTCCCCGGTCACCCAGGAACCACTGCACTGGCTACTGGTTTCTCAAGAGCCACAGGTTCTCTGCAAACATAACCCAGAGCAAATGGTGGTTATTCCCCAACATTAGGAGTCACTTTAATATTTTTTTTTATAGAGGCATGTTTTATTTATTTATTTTATTTGTTTGTTTTGTTTTTACATGCACTGGGTACAGTCAGAAGCGCGGGAGGGTGAGAGAATTCACCAGAGCCAGAGAGGGGAGCAGAGCAGGCAGAAGGACCGAAGTACACTGCTGAGGGGAGCAGCGGGCGGCAGGAGAGGTCTGCACGCCACGTGGGACCCTCCTCCGGTGGCCGGGGAGCAGCCGGGATCGAACCGGCGCTGCAGAGGCTGCGGGCAGCTTCACAACCCAGCGCTCAACCGCTGCGCCACCGGGGAGGCCCAACATTAGGAGTCACTTTAAAAAAGAAACTCAAGGGCCTCCCCTGGTGGCACAGCAGTTGAGCGCTGGGCTGCGAAGCTGCCCACAGCTTCTGCAGTGCCGGTTTGATCCCTGGCCACTGGCAAGGGTCCCACACGGCGCAACAGACCTCTCCTGTCTCACCTGCTGCTCCCCTCAGCAGTGTATTTCGTCAGTCTGCCTGTTCTGTTCCCCACTCTGGCTCTGGTGAATCCTCTCACCCTCCTGCACTTCTGACTGTACCCCGTGCTTGTATAAATAAATAAATAAATCTTAAAAAAAAAAAAAAAAAAAGAAACCCAAAATCCTGAAATAATTCACCCTAGAGTCCACGGTACCAAATGGCCTCAGGACCACTGGCAGAAGCCTCAGCCACTGGGGCCATTGGCAGGGCAAGGGGTGGTGGCTGCACCTGACTCCCTCTAGCCTCCCCTGCAGAGGAGGGCCCCTTCATACCGGCTTCTTCCCCACGATGAGCTTTTCCACCTTCTGCACTTGGGATACGTGGTCCTCATTGGTCTTCAGCTCCCGCTTGCGGATTCGCTCGTAGATTCCAATCAGCATCTCCCGGGGGATGTCCTCGCCATCATCCACACCTGGGCAGGGGACAAGGCTGGGCGTTGGGTTGGGCCGGGACCTGGCAGCTGTGGTTCCATGTAGCATCCCCTCCCTGCCCCGACTCATTGGTGTCTACACCAGATCAGAGTGATGGTCCCTCTCATCAGTTCCAGGAGACCTGCAGGCCTTCCCTCCGGGGCTACTGAGCACTGCCAGTCAACTATAACTGCCCAGACCCTGTACACACCAGGACCTGAGCCACATGGCCCCAGGACTGTCACTGGGACGGGCAGCACCACTTGTGCTCAGAGGGCTTTATAACATTCCATCCTCATAGATCACGGCCCCAGGGGAGGACACAGCTGTCCCCATTTTACAAATGGGAGAGCCAAGCTTTGGGTCCAGGAAGAAGGCCACGCAACTGGGGTTGTGAGTTCAGGCTCTGACGAGTCTGTGTCCAAGTTTTTGCTTTGCCCCTTTCTAGTCAAGGGACTCAGTTCCTTTGAGCTAGGGGTCTTCCTCTGTGAAGTGGGCCACCAAGAGCGTGGCAGCAACACGGCCTCGTGAGGAGCATGGCGCAGCTCCAGGCACCCAGCACCCAAGGTGGGTCACGTGGGCAGAGCAGGCCTGGGGCTGGAACTGGTGACTCTGGCAATAAGCACACACCCCTCTCACTATACTACCCAGCCCGAGACCCAACCCTGCTCAGGACACAACCGCAAGCCCACATCCATCCTTCTCCTGCAGGCTGGCAGGAGTCCAGTGACCTGGTGATGTACTCTGTCAGAGAACAGTGGGGAAAAGGTGGCCCACTGCCCTCCAGTGGGATGGTAGTCAACCCTGCTGTGGGCAACTGGCACTGCCTGTCCTGGAGATGCCCTCTGGTGCATCGATCGCCTTTGGGAAACTGATCCCGTGGGGAAACTACACAAGCCAGGTCATTCGGTGCAATATTATTTCCAAATAGCAGAGAACTGGAACGACTCCATCTACTTGTGGCCAGGGAACGGGCTAGCCAGGCATCGCACAGCCACCGGGGACAAGAGGAAGCCGCAGCAAACCCATGCGGCCACCACCCTCATATTTACTCAAAGAAGAAAACAGGGTGTGAAACAGAAGAGGGTACAACGGAGCATGCGTGTTTGTGCCTACTGGAGCAGACCGGACTGAACCAGGGACTGAACACTGGTGACCTGCCGAGAGAGAGGGCTCTGCCATGGACCTGCTCAACTTTCTGGTTTTTAGACCAAAGCAAAACTTCAGTTCTCAGGGTACAGTTTGTGTTCATAGCAAAACTGAGGGGAAAACACAGACATTTCCCATCTGCCTTCTCAAAGGGACCCCCAATGGAGGGCACTGCACCTAGGCTGACGTGTCTCATCACCCAGGCCTCAGTTGCACCAGGAGTGGCTCTCACTGCCATACACTCGTGGGGTTTGGACAGAGTATAATGACAGCCATGCACCACAGCATCACATAGGGTGTTGCCCCCCCTCACCCCCTAACATCTCAGGGGGATCCCCCTATTCACCCCTTCCTTTGGTCTTACCCCTGATGACTGCTGATCATTGTTTGGTTGTTATTTGTTTTTTGGGGTTTTTTTGTCTCTGCAATTTTTTCTTTTCCAGAATGTAATTGGAATCAACAGTGTATGTCTAATTCTCAGACTGGCTTCTGCACTTAGTGACAGGCATTTAAGGTCCCTCCACGTCTTTTCACGGCTTCATAGCTCATTTCTTTTCAGAGTTGACTAATATCCCATCGTCTGGCTATACCTCAGTCTGTGGAGCCATTCAGCCACCAAGGACATCCTGGTTGCTTCCAGGTTTTGGGAATGATGAATCAAGCTCTAAATATCTGTGTGCAGGTTTTGTGTGGACGTAAAGTTTCAGGCCATTTGGGTAGATAACAAGGAGTGTAATGGTTTGGTCACACTACTTCTCTGTGGCTTTTTAACTGTGTGAATATAATACCCACACAAGAAATAAATTTAAAAAAATGTGAAACAAGTATCAGTAAAAGGTGCTCTGCTTGTCTGCCTTTCACGCTGGTGAACTATTCTCTCCTTCTCACCTCACACCCGGAGCCGCTCCTGCTGCTGGACCCATGGGGCAAACTGGAATGAGTGATTTCAGAGTACGTGCAGCCAGGGTGCATGTGCAGGGGGTGGGTTTCATCTAAAAATAAGAAGCTGGATGTGTGTTCAGCACAGAGAAACAGCCTGGCTTTGGGAGACGAGGGTCTTGCTGACCGCTGACATTCACTAGCTGTGTGACCTTGGGCAAGCTGCCTTCTCACTCCGAGCCTTGGTTACCCCTTCTGAAGCACAAAGACGATGGGACAGAATACCACTGAGTTCTTGGCTTGGAAAGAGGCGACCTGCTGGGAACAGCTCCAGACTTGGGAGGCAGAGCCAGCCGCTTGCTCCCCTGGGACTGGGAAGTAGGAGGATATTGCCACTCCGCCCCCCAGACTGCAGGGACAGCCAGGTGGGTGCAAACTTCCAAAGCCCTGTCCTTCCCTGAGCCTTCTCTCCTGAGTCAGTCACTTCTGGCTCCTCCTCTTCTTTCCCATAAAGGGGAGCCCCAGATTATGTGAATGAGTTCTAAAAGCATAAAAAAAGAAAACAACATAGCATCAAATCAAGGAGCTCGGCAACCCACCCTGGGGTTGCCAATACCATGCAGTGCACAGCCACCTTTTAGTGCACTGACAGAGTGCTGGCCGCATTTGGGGTCACCTCAGAATCGGGGTCTGTTCCAAGAGGAGAGAGCCTCGGTACCTGAGAGGCCTGGGGGTGATGGTGAGCAGGTGGGCCCCTGGAGTTCTGATCAAATGTCTACCCATAGCCTTCATTCGCTCTCCTGGGGATGGGATTTACCATTAATGAGGTTCTGAGGCGCCTTAGATGCCTAGGAACTAAAGCTAAGACTTGACCTTCCTCGGGGCCTGCAAGATCCCCCAGACCTGGCAGAGAGGCACGCAATGAACCCCGCCCCAGCCCACCATGGTCTTCCTAGGATCTTCAATTGTGCTCCTGGGGCCTGGGAAGCCAAGCTCAGTGCGGGGTGTGGGGGGTGGTCCTGCCTCTGCTCTCTGGGGGTTCCATTAGCTGTCCTGTGATTATGGGTTCCGCTGCCAGGGGGTGTACCAGGCAGGTTCACACAGGGAGGACCTAGCATGTTACCCTGCCCCAGAAGAGGAGACAACAGGATGGCAGTCTCATAGAAATAAAGAGAATAGAAAATAGCTTAGCAAGATCACAAAGTTGAACTTGATTCACACACTTTCAGAAAAAGATGATACCGTTTCTATAGGGCCCTTGGCTGCTACTGCTGGCGTTTCCTGAGGAGAGGAATGCAGCCTGTCTTCCTCCTCCAGGGACCCTAGACACACAGGGCTGCACTGTTGGCTAACATGGGAGGACAGCAGGGATGAGCCACAGGCTGAGCCCCAGCAAGAGAGGGCTGCCTCGGCCCAGGGCCCGGCTTGCTGGGATCCAGTGCTTTCTTTTTACCGCTTCCATGTCTATAATGCCTGTGGGGGCACACACTACTCCGTATTCCATTAACAGTAATGTGAGGTTCTACGTGTTGAAGTTAAACCACGAAAACAAGGCAAGTCAATTTGCGAGGAACACTGAGTGTGGAGGGGGCCTAGCAGTGATGGGGGCCAGGGCAGTGCCAGTCCCTCTGCCCAGCTCTCCTACTTGGAAACTCTGGGTTCCATCCTGCTCCCTCTGGGTCTCCCAGGTCTGGCCCGGCCGCCCACTCTGTGCTGAGCTGCTTTCTCAGGCCTCTGCAGGACTGTGAGCAACTCCCCCACTCGGCCTGCCAGAACCCTGCGTGTCCTTTCAGAACAAGCTGAAAACAGCACCTCCCCCGACAAGTGAGGTTCCCCACATCCCCCAAGACCCAGGTACATGCCTCTTAGTGCTCCTTAGGGCCAACACTCCCTGGGGGTCCCGGAGCCCGGCGTGACCCGTCACACCTGCCTCCTGCCCCCGTCCTATCAGGCGCCGGCTCAGAGGGTGTTTGAGGGATGCCTGTGTGGCTGAGCTCGGGGCCCAGGAAGCTCACCTCGGAGGTTCTTGACAAAGTCCTCCAGCTTCATCTTGCGCTCGGGCTTGACATTGGGGCTGTACATGTCCGTGTTGAGCAGGATGATGGCAAAGGCCAGGATGAAGATGGTGTCTGGGTTCCGGAACTGCCGCACCACCCCGGGGTTGCAGATGCAGTACCGCTGGCTGCAGGCCAGGGAGAAGGAGGACAGTCAGGGCAGAAAGTGGGTCAGGTAGCCCCTCACTCACTGTGGCCACCCCAGTACAGACATTGCACTATGGGCCTCAGTTTCTGCATCTGGTAAATGGGGACACACTTGTTCAGCAGAGTTGGCCCTGCCCACCCACTCACCCCTCCTTATGTCCCCCACCCTGTATCAGAGTGGCACAGGGCTGCTCAGCAGGAGGCCCGCATTCCCTAGCCTCCCTAGAGCTGGGCATAGCCACCCACCTTAGTTCTGGTCAATGGGATATGGCACCTGCAAGGCTGTACCTTAAAAGGCACCTTCTGTGCTCCCCCCTGCCTGGAACATGGATGTAACAGTGGACGCTGGACTTGCTACCTGGGACCTTGAGAGGACAGGAGGGCAGGCCCCACACCAGCTCAGAGATAAATTTTTGTCCTGTTTTAGCCACAGCTAGGGGGTATCTTTGTTATGGCAGCACCCTGCCTATCTTACTGTCCCTATTGCCTCGATTATACCTCCTGCCCCCCACTCCCAAGGGGCCCCCTTTACTGGTGACCTGGTGAAGGGGGTAATGGAGAGAGGCAGCGATAGACAGGGGGAGCCAGGAGGGGCATCAGACCTGAGGCAGCAGCCATCAGAGCATAGACGACGTGGGATCCCATTCTGTCTTCTCCATTAGTTGCTGCCTCCTCCAGGAAGCCCTCCTGGAAGGAAGTGGCTAATACTTTCCTCCCAGAGCCTGGGGTTTCTCCTATGCCCTTGCTCCTCTTTGGCCCCACCACCAGTGCTGTGCCCAGCCAACTGGGTATCTCCACATCCAGCAAGGAGCACAAAGGCTGATGCACAGCCAGTGGGACTTGGTTTTGGGAAGAAAGATGGCACAGTAACAGCCACCCACTGTCATGCCAGGCATAGGGCTTAGTTGGTTAATCTTTCTGCCCTCTCCAGGATAGGTGCTCTTGTTAGCCCAACTCTCCAGGCAAGGAAGTGAGCACAGAGGTTAAGTAACCAGCACCAGGTCACACAGCAGATAAGAGGTGCAGGGGGGTGTTAGAACCAGGCATCTGGCCCCGTGGCCCCAGTGAATGAGCAGATGGATGACACACATGGGCCCATAAATGAATGAACGATGGATGACGGCCAGCAAGACTTGGAGGAAGACAAAGCCTGTTTGAAACCCTGGCTCTTACACTAACCAGCACGGTGCCTGCACCCAGGAGGGGCTGCTGCCTCCTCCCCCTGGTGAGATCAGCCACCTGAATGTGCTGTGGCCCAGACCTGACCTGAAGGCCTCGATGAGCCGCTCCACCTTCTGGGCCTCCCCCTGGACCCGGATGTGCGCCTGGAACTTTCTGAGTGCTTCATCCAGCTCCATGGCGGAGAAGTCCATCTCGTCCACCACGCAGCTGAAACAGGGACAAAAGGCCCGCGTCAGCAACCCCTGACTCTGCAGCCTCCCTGCTAGGTGAGCACATGGAGCAGGGTGGGGGCACAAATGGAGTGCAGGGAAGGGCTGGTGGCCACCCAGAGGCCCTGGGCACAGATTGCCTCTTGCTCTCCTCCAGGCAGCAAACATTTCAGACTACAGCCCAGTGATGCTGATGGGGAGCCCATGGCCCCCCGGAGCTGCAGGGAAAGGTTCGTGCTTATGTTTCTGCATGTACTTTTCTAAAAGGGGGCCAGGGCTTACAGCTACTTTTCATAAGAGCCTGGGTGTAGAGATGAACTGGCATGGGGCATGCGGTAAGTGGGAGGTTGTGGTCTTCCTGTGTCAGTGAGGGAGGAAAGGTGCATGGGCTACCTGTGAGGGGTGAGGTGAGGCCCCAGGGCACCCGGGGACTGTGCTCCAAGCACCCTCGAGAGTTGGGGTGGGGGGAGAGGTGGCTGGGCTTTTTGGGGTGTTTTGAGAAGGGCATCTGTTCTGCCCTTGCCTGCCCATCCAACAAGCAGAGGACAGAGCTGGGCTAGTTCCATCCTAATCACAGCCAACCCTCAGCTCAGCCTGCTGGTCCCTGCTTGTGACCTGAAGGGGGAATGTGGGGGCTACACCAGGGACCCAGGTGGCAGGTATCTGGCCGATCCCTTTGTAATGAAGCCATGACCACTTTGGTATGACTGCAGAGGCCTCCGACTTGGGGCCTCAGCCCATTCCCTGAGTCCTCCCTCTGCTGGGGCAATGGGTCCAGGCATAACTGTGAGGCCCCCAACCTCCTCGCAGAGCTTGCCATCTCCTGGGGTAGCAGTTTTTGTGGGGAGGGGACAGGACAGGGACGATTTGCTGACCAGCATCAGGGTAAGCATGCTGGAGTGGAAGGACAGGGGCTGGTGGCGGGGGGAAGGGGCTCGATACTTCCTGAGGTCACTGCTATTTTCTGATGTAAGGAGAACAATGCTCGGATTTCCTGCGGACCAGGAGCTGCTTAGGGAGGGTGTGCGGGAATGTCTGCAGCTCTAGCTGGCTGGGGCCCCACTCAGTAAGGAGTTAATCTGTTTCCCCCCCGAACCATTTCTAGCCTCAAAGAGGGGAGAGGGGCATGGACACACTGGCATGCAGCAGGATTTTCCAGACCAGGCTGGAACAGAAACACTGGGCAGGAGAATGCAGGCCAGGAGGGTGTGTTGGCCAAGGAAGGTGCAGACTCCATGCTGCTGGGTGCCGGGCACACGCCAGCCACCACCCACACCTCTGGCTCACAGCCTCTCCTGCGTGTGGCTGAATAGACCATGTGTGTCCGTGTGTGCACGTGTGTGGGAATGTGCAACGGGATGAGTGTGTATGCGACTCAAGGAGGGGAGCACCCAGGCCAGGCCTCCCCCTCCGACCCTGCACATCCTCACTAGTGAAGCAGAGGCAGTGGTGCCGCCGGCCACTCCCGGAAGTGAGCATCAGAGGCGGCAGGACACGTTTCCCTCACGTGAGACCACAGGCTGCAGAGCTGCCCCGACCTGGGGTCCGCTCCCCACCGGCTCTTTCCTTCACCTGGCGTGGAGGCGGTGGACAGTTGGAAGGCAGCGTCACTGTTGCTGTGGCCAGCTCTCTGCTCTGATCTCTCCCAGCCTGTAGGGCCACATCTCGGTGTAGCTGACAGGTCAGGAAAACCCTCAGCTACAGACCCGGCAGAAGGACACCTGCACCGGGCCATCCCATCCCTCTGGCTCTGGGTCTTCATCTGTGAAGGGAGCCAGTGCCCGCCACACCTGCCCAGTGAGAGGACGGGGCAGAACACAGCGTGGGCTCGGGGCACGCGAGCCCTTTCGCCAGGGCTGTGGTGTCAAGGAGGAACACAGGCATGCAGGACTTCTCACAGTTGCCAGCAACACCCAGGGAGCCAGGCACCGTCTTTCTGTGGGGTTCCAAGTTGTTGAGAGTGCTGTGCCCGTTGGGGGAGAAGGGTGGCCTCACACCCCAGAGCTTCCAGCTAGGGCAGGCAAGACAGGGCTCTATTTGGGGCTGCCCACCAGGAGGCACTGGGGTCTCTCTTAGCCAGCACCCCAAGAATATCACAACAGATGGCAGTGAGGTCAGGGGAAGGATGACAGACACCCAACTCCCAGTGCTGGGGTGGCGTGGGGACATTGAGGGTACACACAGGACATTGGGGGGTCAGTGTGTATGACACGGAGCCCGAGGGTGGATGCCTGGGAGGATGTGCTGTGCGGGTGTCTGCGTGTGTCAACAAGGGAGAAAAGTGGGGAGTACTGGGGGTGTGTATCAGCAAGCAGGCAAGCCTGACACCATGCTTGCACAGAGCAGGGGCCTGTCACGGGGCATATCCCTGCTCCCTGCCAGTCCCCCAACTCACTCGAGCACGTCACGGTTGAACTGCTTCTGCCGGTTGCCGAGGAACTCGCCGATCATCTGCCGGCTGAGGCCCTTGCGCTGCAGCAGGAAGTGGGCCACTCCCACCGGTGTGTCGGGCACGAAGCCGCGCTCGATGAGGTACTGGATGCCCTTCTCAGGCTTCCTGGGGGGACAGAGGCCCATTCAGTCCCAGCGCCCCCTGGCTCATCCACGCCTGCACTCAGCTCTCACCCCTTCTCCTTGAGCCCATGATGGGGCCAGCTACAGGAGCACAGCTGTGGGTGCTGGGGCAGAAGCCCCCTCCTCGCCACCCTGCACTGCCCCACGTCCTGGGCACACATAAACATCCTCTCCCCAACCTCATGCAATCTTCTGCAGAGAAGCTTCCAGGTAACAAGCAGCCCAGCCCAGCACACACCGGCCTGCTCCCTCCGGCACCTGTAATCAGCACTAACACTCTACAGCTGTTGGGCCCTTGCTGTGCAGTGTCACGTGGCTCAGCCTCTTCCCTTCCAGTCATGCTGGCCCTTGGGGTCTTGTCACTGGTGCTGTGCAGGCGCCCAGCAGCCTGGTGACCTTGCCAGGGGCCTCAGCGACCTGCATGTGATGACCACTGAGTTAACACAGTCAGGCGCCTGGAACAGGCACACAGTCAGCACTATGACAGGTTCTTACGATCTGTCCCAGTCTATAGGAGAGGAGTTGGAGGCACAGCTCAGGCCCCTAGAACTGGCGTCCACCTGGACGGGGAGCCATGAGGCCCAGGCAGGGCCCTGGTGGACTGTGGGGGTGGAGGCTCCCATGGGGTTCATCAGTGAGTCGAGGCAAGCCCCCTCCTCCCTTGGGGCCTCTGTCATGCTGGCCACAAAGTATGACATGCACTCAGGTGTCACAGACAAGGGCCGGTGACCAGAGGGGACAGTGTGGTGTGAGGGGGCCACAAGTGGGATTGATCACTGACCCAAGGAGCTATGAACCCCTGGTGTGCATGCAGGCCCTGTCAAGGTGGAGGCAGCTGGGTCACCTGCTAGTGGGTCAGGCCCTGCCCTTTGCCCTAGCAGGTAGAGGCCAGTGTTGTGCTGTGCCCCAAAGCGGGGAGGTAATGGCCATGGGAGGTAGCAGCATCCAGCAGTGACTGATTATCCACAGGCGAGCCAGTGGCAGCCTCAGGCTGCAAGGTGACCCTGCTATTTTTACCAGGATGACCATGTACCCTCACTCACCCTCAGGGGCTCGGCTGGGAGCAGCTGCTGGCCAGCTGGGTCCAGGCACAGAAGTGGTGACAGACTGGCCCTGCTCCCCCAAACCCCACTTCTGCAGCTCTGGGGTCTCCACCCAAGAACCCCCCAGGTCCAGGGCCTCTCCAGCCACTTGGCCATTGTTGGGGACACATGGCCAGGGAAGGTCACAATCCCTTGCTGCTGCTTCCATATAAATACAGGACCCCAACCGATGCCCGCACCCCCTGCACTCAACTTCCAGTCACCAAGGCTAGCCCACACAATGGTAACACAGAAATTCTAGTGAGCTGCCAACTAGACTTAGAATCTCATTCGGAATCCAGATTTCAAGCTTCTCTTGAAAAATCAGACAGCCTGGCATCTCTGGGGCCCGCAATCTGTATGGCAATGATTGGAAGGGGTGGGGCTGGGTCACCCACCTACCCAGGCCTGCCTGGCCCATTGAGGCCCCACTCTGGTGCCCTGTGCAAGCCCAGGCAGGCCCAGTCCCTCCTGCTTTTCTGGGTGGCCGCTTTCCCTTCTCTGCTCCTTCCTGGGTTTCCACAATGCCATGCAGTATCACAGGCTTCCAGGATATGGATGCATCCATCCTGGAGGAACGCAGAGCATGGTGGGTGAGGGTGGAACATGCTGTGGGAAGGAGAGGTTGTGGGAAATGTGGACTCCCCACCGAGTCAACACCCTGCGCCTCTCCGCACGCGGCTCTGCATGCAAGGGTCATGGGCTAGGAGCAGGTGTGCAGGATGGAGGACCCATGAGGCCGATCCACTCTGGGGTGGCAGGGGGACTCCTGGGGGGCTGAAAAGGAAGCAGGGTGACAGGCCGATCACCCAGGGCGTGCTGCTCCAAGTGGGTGAGGAGCCCTGGTATGTCCTGGCAGGGCAGGGCCGGGGCCAGAGGTCCTTGGGTAAGAAGCTTCCTCTGGCTGCCCTGTAGAGTCAAGGCCAGGCCTGAGCTGGGAACGCAGCCAGGAGACTCCTGCAAGCGTTCAGGAAGGAGTGCAGGAGGTGAGGAGGTGTGGCCAGTTTAGGACATAGTTACGGGATAGAGATAACAGATTGGATGCGAATCTTACGGATCCTTTACATTTTCCTCCTCAGCCTGGATCCTAAACCCAGAGCTGGAGGGATAGATTCCATGTTGTAGCTTTCACGGCAAAACCACAGGATGGAAGAACCTGGACCCACTGGGCCTTGACCAGTGACCAGGAGTTCACTGGGCAATTGAGAGGAAAGTGTAGTGGTGGGTATCAGGTGGGTGGGTGGGTAGGGTGCACACCAGGCAGGCAGGGCCCTGGGGTTGGGACAGATGTGACTGGTGAAGGAGACAGAATGGCTTTCTTTACACTGGGGAGTGACCTCCCTGAGACTAAACAGCTAGTGCACTGGATATCTGCTGGTAGACCCTGCCCAATCGGGCATTGCCAGTGTCCTCCCCTGACCCGCTCCCACACAGAGCTCTGCGCTGACTGCTGAGGGGACCTGTACCTGCATGCCCTGCTGAGCATCACCATAGATCTACTGGGGACAGCAGCGCAGAGTGGTGAGTGGCCACCACCCTACCTGCTCCCCTTGCTGCAGCAATGGGGCCACACGATGTGTGCTGGTTAAACAATGGGTACGAAGGGAGCATGGTGCTCCCTGTGGGTGCCTTTCCAGCACCTTCTCATGCCACAGAGAATCAGGAAGCCCACGTGGATGTCTCTGCCCACCTTGTTGCTGAGACTAGAGGTGCACAGTCCCTGGCCAGCCTAGCAGGACATGGCAGTGTCACATGACAGAGCCACCCAGGCTGTCAGAGAAGGGCTAGTCTGGGCAAAGTGGGCCACAGGGCTTCATGTTCCAGGCTCAGACACAGAGGTAGGGCGCTGGCCCTCCGGAGGTTTCCTACACGGGGACTGTAGGCCTCGAACACTTCTGCCTGGGCCTTCAGGCTCCAAGGACTGAAGACAGAAGGGACCAGGGCTCCTCTGACTGCTGGATACCCCTAAATCCAGCAGGACCCGACCACACAGAGCACACCCAACAAGCAGGACATCTGTGTCAGGCTTGGGGGCACCTGTGATTTGGAGCAGCGCTGCTTTCCATGTCACCAGGACACTGTTTTGAAAGCTTTCAGTCTGCAGCCGCATTACCCTGAACACGCACCATCTCCCTGAAGCTTTGCAGGGCCCCTAACCCCCACAAGACAAGTTCCAGGCTCCTCGGCCCTTGATTCACTGCGTTCCACAATCATTTATCGAGCTTCCGTTCTGAGCCAAAGTCCCCGCCATGAAAGACATGCAGTGTGGGTGGAGCCTGATAAAGGAGGAAGGGAGGTCAATTCCCAGGATACTGAGATACAGCACAGAAGCCTGAGCTCAAATTCCAGCTCCACTTACCAGCTGGGTGACCTAAGGTAAGTTACGTGACCTCTCCGCGCCTTGGCTTCCTCATTTGTGTAATGGGAGCAACAACAGTGCACAGAGTGGCGTTGCTGTGAAGGTTAAGTGAGAGAAAATGCCTCCAAGCCTTCAAAACATATTGTGGGGAAGGCCAGTGTCAGCAGAGCTAACCAGGGTGATGCCACGGTGACCTGGAGAAGGCATGGACTTTAGTAGGCAGGGGTGAGAGGAACAGTCTGGAAAGGCCTCCTAGGGAAGGTGGCACTGAACCTGGAGCCAGGAGGAAGGTCCTCATTGGAGGGGACAGCCAACCAGGGCCTTATTGGCAGTAACCACAGGGCACAGCAGGGTTGAATGTTCTAAGATGCTCAGCAAGAAAGAGCGTGGGTCTTTTAACTCACTCCTTTGCTCAAGAAATCCTGAAAATTTCCCTCTACCTTTCCTACCCCATCACTGCTGCTGAAGATCAACAATGTCCAGGCCCCCAGTTCCTCTGAGGATACCCCAACTCCTCCCTTCTCTAGATTTCCGACTTCCACCCTCAAGAATGCAGTGCAATGTGCGGAGGGTGACATTCTTGACGCCTGACCTGCTTCTGCACTGGGTCTGCTGTCTTCTCCCTGAAAGGCGTGGAGTGTGGAGGTCAGAAGGGAGCAAGCTGCGGCCCCACCCACCCCACCCCACCACAACCAGCCTGAGCGATCCCCAGGCTTGCTGGGCCGCTTTTCATGACCCCAGTTGCTGATGTAGACGCAATCAGGACAGGGAGGCACAGATGGGCCTTGCCAGTGGCTTCCCTCACATGCGTGCCCCATCCTGGGACTCTGGGCAGTCAGTGGTGGGCACTGAGCTCTCGGGGCACGAGAGGGCAATCCTGAGGTTGTGGGCTATAGCTGGGGATGGCCGACTTGCTGAGTGCTCTGTGGGCTCTGTTCACCGGGGCAGTTCCTGAGCCTACTTGGGTCCACCACCCACTGCGGCCCAGCCCTGGCAGGCCTTGGCTGTCCAGCTCCCACCCAGCTCTGCCTGGCTCAGCTTCCTTTCTAGGGGCCTGGGGCTCTATCGGCTTAGAGACAGACTTCAGCTCCCTGGGCCACGTGAGACTCCAGGGGAAACTGTCTAAACCAAAGAGCTCTGGGTTTGCTAAGAAAGGCTCTACTCCTCACTTAGCATTGTTTTAGAAAAGCTCCCAGGCCGGGAGCAAGGCCAGTGCTGTGTACATGGGGTCCCCACTCTGGAGCCCCTTGTTGGTCGGGGGCTTGTTTTACATGGAGTCCCAAGGCTCCCGCCACTGTATGTGGCTACCCTCCCTTCCCACTTCATGCACAGAGCCAGACTCGCTGCTATCTGTCCCTCTTGGAACTCTACACCAATCCTGAAGCTGCAGTGACCCAGCTGTTCTAGATCTGCACCACTGGGTAAGGAAGCACTGACCACTGTGGCTGCAGCCCTTGTGCTGTGGCCAGCGTACCTGAGGGGCTGGATGGCTGCAGTTAACAGTCCCATCTTGCCCTTCAAGGTTGTCAACTCTGAGTGGAAGGCAGCCCCAAGGGGAGCTCGTGCAGATGCTAATCCTCCTGGGGATGCACAGCTACCAGGAGGGCTAAGAATGCCACTTCAGAGAAACAACAGAAAGAGCCAACACAGTTCTAAGAATAACAAAAGAGGGTCTCCCTGGTGGCGCAAGAGGTTAAGTCTTAGTGCTATGAAACTGATCAGTAGCCATCACAGCATGTGGGGCTGCACAGGGCCTTGGGGGAGGCGTGCAGCACCACGCTGGCTGCTGAGTGGGCGAGATAACCCAAGCACAGAGCCACGGTCATGATGGAGTCAGAGGGAATTTCAAGCCGATGGAGAGAGGACAGACAACAGACTGCCAGAGGCTGACAGACTTATCTAGAATACCAGAGGCAGAGCCCTCGCCTGGTACCAGCCTCCAAAAACAAGTTCCAGCCCTGAAGGGAATACGGCAGAGCTCTTTCAGTCTGACATGAAAATCCAAAGTAGTAAAAAAAACAGAAAAACATGGATGATTTGACTAATTAAAATTAAAAGCTTCTGTTGGATGACAGAAGCATAGAGTTAAAAAACATAGCTAGGGCCTCCCCTGGTGGCGCAGCGGTTGAGCGCTGGGCTGCGAAGCTGCCCACAGCCTCTGCAGCGCCGGTTTGATGCCCGGCTGCCGGCGAGGGTCCCACATGGCGCGCAGACCTCTCCTGCCGTGCCCGCTGCTCCCCTCAGCAGTGTACTTTGGTCCTTCTGCCTGTTCTGCTCCCAGTTCTGGCTCTGGTGATTTCTCTCACCCTCCCACACTTCTGACTGTACCCAGTGCTTATATAAATAAATAAATAAATCTTTAAAAATTGTTTTAAAAAAAAATAGCTAAACCCTACCCATTATATACTTTGAAAGGGTGAGTTTATAATATGTAAATTATATCTCAAAAGAACAAGTCAAAAAAAGACAGCTAACAGAAAAAAAATATTTGTAATTACAAAGGGCTAGTATCCACAATATATAAAGAGCAAATAGTAAATCGTAACGACAACTTGATAGAAAAATGGGCAGAGAACAGAGCAGGCATTTAACTGAAGAGGAAATTCAAATAGCCCAAGACTACCCAGAAGTGCTCCCTCTCAGAAGCAACAGGGAAATGCGAGTTAAAACCACAGAGAGACACTATTTCTACCACCCCTTGGGCTGGGGGTGAGGAACAAACCTGTGTTGACAGGCATGTGGGGGGAACCGGAACTCTCAGATCCAGCTGTGAAGGAGGAAATGAGTAGAGGCCCCGCACTGAGAAGTAATTTGGTGGTTCCTGTTTCAGTTCAAAACAAGCCTAGCAGTTCCATCGGTCCCCCTCTGGTCATCTCCTCAGAGCCTCCTCAGGCACCTTGAGGAAGCAGAGGCCCCTGCATGGTGTGGACAGCCACACCAGGGGCCACTCCGCAGCAGGAACCCAGGGGCGAAGCACTGAAGGGAAGTGCTCTACCAGCAGACCTCCCACCACACTAAGGTGATCTATCACTTGGCCCCAGGTCACTCAGCCAGGCCACAGCGACACAGGCTGACACTCGCAGGGTTAACTGCCCCAGCACTGTCCACACCTGCCCCTTTCCTTCTCACACCTGTGGGCAGGGGCTGGGCTTCAGCCCCATCATACAGATGAGGACGCTACTGCAGGAGGCCACACTGCCCAGGGGCATGGGCAGGGCTAGGAGCGGGCCGGCCAGGCTCCAGAGCACTGGATGGACACAGAGACCTGGGGAGCGGCTCCGAGGCGACAAGCGAAGGGGTGTTATCCTCAGTGGAGGCTCTCACATTCCACGGTGCAAGTAGCATGTGCACGCATGTAAGACCCAGAAGAGGGCAGCCCCAGCAGATAGGAGGTTAGTTCTCTTCACAGAGAACCACAGCCCCTGCTGCCCCAGACAGGAGCCCCGTTCCCTGTACCCACCCTGGGGGCAGGCCTCTGGATCCCACAGCTAGCGCTTCCATTTGTACAGTGATGGCTCAAAGTGCCCCCAGGATGCCCCAAATCTGGGAAAACAGGAAGCAGGGGAGTGAGAGGTTAGTGCCAGGAACCACCAGGCAGGCTGGTCATGTCCATTCCATGTCCCCACCCTTCGGAGGAGTCAGCACTAGGTCTGGCATCTGGTGACCCCTAATTCTGGAAGCCCCCGGATGGAAATTATGTGAGATCCGAAGTTTAATAACCACAGCCAGGCAGGATGCCCTCCAAGGGAGTACTCGGCCCTCCTCCCCTCCCGCTTGCTATTTTTGGTGGTGCTAAGAATAGTCTGCTTTAAATACCCATCTCCCTCCTCAGATGTGCTCGCAGGACTGCCCCCACAGCACCTTTCCAGAACAGACAGGAGGGAGCAGCCACTCAATGGTTGGTGTCTACAGAGGGAGAAGCCAACAGGGCCTCCGACGGTCAGGGTGGGGCTGTGCAGGGCCAAGTCACACGTCTCCCAATGGACCCTGCTGAGACCGGCCGGCAGCAGTTTATCTGCGTCCTTCCATTCCCCACGTGCCTCCAAGGATGGCGGGCAGCGGCCCAGGGAGATCTCCCTTGGAAAAGGACCAGTGATGCCTGCCCTAGAGACCTTCCTGCCCCTCCACACCCCAAGGAGATAACCCTCCCCATAGTCATGCCGGCCTTCGTCTGATGCCTTTCCTAAGCATCGACTGTATGCCCACCACTGTTCTAGGTGCTGACGCGACCCCACGTCCAGGGAAATGACACCCCTCTCTCATGGTGCTTTACCACAGAGAAGTCCCTCATTTTGCTCCTGCTCAGCCTGAGTGTCTGTTCCCTCACCCGGGGTCCTTGGAGGGGGCCAGGTCTGGAGGCTGGGTGCTGGACCTGCTGCTCTCAGGACCCAGCCTCTCCTCCCCCCAGTCACGGCACGGAACACTGGAGACCCCGTCTCTCAGTGTCCTGCCCTCATGCCTGCTTTAACTCCCAGCCCATGCAAAGGCCCTGGGGCCCAGCGCTAGGCCCGCCTCCACTCTCCCACAGGGCAGCGGGCACTCACTTGTTGAAGAGGTTGAGGCCGATGCGGTAGTGCCTTTTGCGGATGACATCGTTGCTGAAGGCGGGCGAGTCCCAGCTGTTGCGGGTCTCCTTGTGGTAGGTCTGCTTGCTGAGCGTCTGTTCCCGCAGGCTGTCGCGGGACGATGACTCGGAGCTGCAGTTGATGGTGTCGTTGGAGTTGGAGGTGCTGTTGATGCTGTCGTTGTCTCCGTCCGAGTAGTCGGACTCGGACTTGCTCTGCCTGTTGGCGGAGCCGTTGATGGCCAGGTGGCTGTCCAGGGGCCTGGGGGGCCGGGGCCGTAAATCCGGCTCCTCCCGGGGCAGGCCCTTGGGGGGGCCGCCATGGGGGCCGTGCTTGGGGCTGCCCTGCTGCCCGCCGAGGCTGCGCTCGTAGGCACTCTGCCTCTTGAGCGAGCCTCGGTCTGAGCGGTCACTGAGGTCCACGGAGCTGTCGCTGGGCGGCTCGATGGTGAGCAGCGGGAGGTGCTCCACCCGTAGCCGCTGCTCTTGCCGCTCGAGCGAGGGCGTGCTCCGGCAGCTCGTGTCTGTATCCCCCTTGTCATCCTTGTGGGCCAGGGTCCAGTAGTCCTGGGCTGCACCCCCAGACCGCAGCCGTAGGTCTGACTCGGTGCTGCCCGGCCGGGGCCCGGCCTGTGAGAGGGGCAGGGGCGGTGACAGCTCCTCCTCGTCAATGTAAAGGGTGACGTCGCTGTACGAGGCTGTCATCTCGTCCAGCTGGCGGTGGTCCACGCCGTGCAGGGCCGGCTGGGGCTCAGCGTCACGGGCCCGCCCCGTGTCGGGGGCCGGCGCCTCCTCGGCGTGCAGGCTGCGGCAGTTGAGGGCATCGTCGATGGACTCAGCCAGTGACTTCACCTGCCGGGAGAAGGCGTCCTCCAGCTCCGTGATGGCGTCTGCGAAGTCGCTGGGCGGTGCCGGGGACTTGAGAACAGGTGGCTCACCAAGGTCACTGCACTCAGAGGGCACCAGGGCTCCCAGCTGGGCGTCATCCTCGGTCACGGAGACCTGCTTCCCCTCGAAGTAGGAGCTGTGTACCTTCTCGGGCCCCTCGAAGGAGAACTGCATCCTCATGTTGGACAGCACAATGCGGCGCGACATGCGGTTCTCTGACATGGAGCTGCGCAGGCGCTCGAAGTTCTTGTTCATCTGGTACTGGCGGAAGGCCGTCTGGATGGTGCGGGCTGCATGGCGGGTCACGAGGCGTCCCCCATACTTCCGTTCTAGCATCTCCACCTGAGGGGCGGGGAGAGAAGGAAAAGAGAGTGACCAGGGCCCCGTGTCGGCACAATATCCAAGTCCCAGCCTCTGGTGGTGTGACCTGGGAAGGTTGTGCCTATCCCAGAGTGCCCGCTGAGGCACGCTGGGGGCTGTGCAGAACAAGGGCTCCAGGGTCAGAGGAGAGGGAGAAACACCTCGCCAAAGAGCAGGCATATTCCCTACTTCTCAGAACCTTAAAAGGAGTGCTTTCCCAAACTCCTGGGGCCACTGCAGTCTTTGGTCCTGGTTCACCTTGCAGCTGGCTGTTTAACAGACACACTTTGGAGATGACGGAGGAGGTGAAGGCAGCCCCTCCAGATATGGAGATCCTGGGGAGGTAAAGGTCCAGGGATGGCCAAAGGTCTCAGCAAGGTCTCCTGAGGAAAGGCCACAGAGTTCCAGTCTCATTTCCTTGAAATGGCACTGATGGGGTGCTCCTGGCAGCCTGGGGATGGGGGGCTGGGTTTCAGGGAGGCCTGAGAGGATGGCTGTACTGAGAAGCAGGCTTCCGGTTCCAAGTCCGGCCCGTCCTCATCAGCCGTGTCACTCTGAGGGAGGCTGGGATGGTGCAGCTCCTCAGGCTCCTCGCCTGTGGAAGGGCATTGCTTCAACCTACCTTGCAGGACCACAGCAGGCATGCGGTGAGACAGCTGCAGGACTCAGCACAAGCCAGGCACGGGGCCCCCTGGGGCTAGCAGGCCCTCAAACTGCATCCCTGCAAGGCGTTTAGTTTGCGGCAGTGACCAAATCCCCTCACTGTACCAATAGGAAAAACTGAGGCCCAGACAAGAGACCGGGAGGCTGCCAGGCTCCAAGCGGGTGCTCACCCTCAGACACCTTGGATACACTGTCTCCCTGGGGTGACACGTGGGTGTCTCAAAGTCCTAAGGGCCACACTGGCCCTCTGATCAAGGACAGCCTGAGGGCCACTCCCTGCTTCTGAGTGAAAAGCAAACAGGATCTCTGCAGCTGGAGCCTGCTCTACGGGAATAAAAGAAAATCCAAGATAAGGAACTGCCTTCTCGGCCATGCCAGGTCCTTGGGATGCTATGCTGAGTGGCCCCGCTGTGGGACCAAGAGAGGTCTCAGGCCCTTGGGACCGGAGAGTGAGGATGTCTCACACCGGGGAGGCCAAGCTCTGCACTCTGCTTGTCTTGTCCCACCTTGCCCACCAGGCTGGGCACTGCACCAAAACTGGCAGTAAAGAAACCTGGTACCTGCCTTCAAGAACTGAGATCTGTCAAGGAGGATACTCAGACACATATAACTGTCAGTGACAAAGCCAACAGACATCAAGCTGTGGCTGAGTCAGGGGCTGGGCACTCAGTAGCTATGGGCTGGGAAGGTGGGGTTCAGAGGCTCAATACAAAGTCCCCTCACTTTTTTGGGTGAGTGACCTCATGTTTCCGTTCACCTCTTTGGAAAGTCAGAGTGTGGCTGGCTCTGAGAGGTTGACCATCTCAGGGACGCTGCTTCCCCCCAAACACTGAAGGCGCCAGGACTCTGGGGCCCCCAGGAAAGGGAGGGCAGGCGGGCAGAGCAGAGTAGGGGTGTGTATGTGGATCAAAACGGCTTTTCAAAGCCCGGCCAGGGCCCAGAGTCAGCCGGGGCGGGTCTGTTTTGCTCTCGCCCTGAGGTTACTGAACCCCATCCAAAACCATGACTTCATTTCCACATCTGTAAGCAGAGTTTACTTTCTGGGTTGTGAACAGAGCTCTGAAAACCCATGGGGCAGATAAAGGGCCCAAGGCTGAGCTCCAGAAGCCCTGTCTTCCCTCTTCTCTATCTGCCCTGCAAGGCCTCTGGTCCTGGGCCCTTCTTGTGAGCCTTGGAGGTGGGGGTAGTGTGGTGCAGGCTCCCAGGACCACAGCTCGGGCCCAGAATCCCCAGAAGGTGCAGAGGGATGCCGTTCAACTTCCCACTGGGCTCCTTTCACCAAAATGGCCTTGCCATTACCAAGACTTTATGCCCCCATGGAACTGGACACCCTGCTTTCATCTGGCCATGCCCATGGAGTTTGTTCTAGTTCCATTTTGCCTTCATTGCCAGGAAGCTCAGGAGCCCTCAACATTATCTCCTCCCCCTTGCCTCTTTCTAGCTCTTCCCCACCATGCTTTCTGCCAAGCCTGTTTAGCACCTCTGCACTTGCTGTTACCTCTCCCCAGAAGGGCTGTCCTCAAACACCAGTTCTGATTTCTTAGAGAGGTCCTTCCACGGTCCTGTCCAATGCGGTCACCTCCCACTGTCACTTGATTTCTTTGGCCTGTATTATAATCGCTATAGTTTGCATCACTTTCTGGGATTACTTTTATTGCTAACTTGCCCGTGGTTCCTGGTCCACTGTGCCAGCTTAACGACTGGGCCTCACTTGCCACAGTTGACTTCCAGCTCCCGGCATGGTGGGCAGCCAGTGACTAAGCATGGATAAAAATGAACTGCTATAGCTGCATTAGGGATGTATGAAGCATAGGATTATCTCGAAATCTTAAACTTTCCCATTTCTATATAAATGGTCCTGCTGATGTCTTTTACTCTGAGTGGTTTCTGATCCGCCTTGGATCTGGGTATAACTGACATGTGGACTACAGGCTATCCTCCCCTGCTGGGAGCTGGCTGCAGGGCTGAGGGCCACAGGAGTATTTGCTCCCACAGCCTGACAAGGGCCATTTGCTATTTGCTGGTTGCCCTGTCAGTCCCGACTCACAGATGAGACATCAACCGAGGCAGGCAGAGCTGTCCAGAGTGGCAGGGCAGCACCAAGAGCAGGGTGGGGAGTGGGCTATCAGAGAACTCTGTGTTCGGCGGCAGACCCCTCCCCCAGGTGAGTAGAACTTCCCAGAGAAAATGCGGTCACACTAGATCTAGGCCTCTGTTGCATTAGACACATAGGAAAACTGGGGAGCAAACAGAGCGGCCAGGACTTTGGGTGGACACGGGCAGGTGGTAGGCTAAGGCACCATCTGCAGCCCTAGGGACAGCTGGAAAGGGTTCTGGGGTCTCCGGGAACTATGGAGGAGACTGCCCAGCATCTCGGAGCCAGGGCAAATAGACAGACAAGTCAGGCCCTGCAAACTTGCACAGCTGCTTCCCAGTTGAGGGTTCTCTGGGGCCTGGCACTTTCCACCTGAGTTGCACATGAGAACTCTTATTAAAGGGCTCCCATGTGCCTGTGGTCCCAGGCACTGGAAGTGTGAGCAGCTGGTTGTGCCTCTGGCTCGCTCTAGACACGCAGGTGTGGACCCCACTGTGGCGCTGGGCTGAGGACCCTGGGGAGGAAGTATGGCCTTCAGCGAGGTGATTCCCACGAGAAGACAGAGTTGTAAACTGAAGAGGTTATAATAAGCAACCTCGCCTCGCTGGCTGTGGATGGGCTTGTTGTTCTTTTCAGAGCCTGTGCTATTTCTGGTGTAAAGTGACCTTCCTCCTTTCTCCCTGGGGCTCCTCCTGCAGACTGCCTAAGGTCCCGGCCTCTCCTGGGGCCTCAGGAGCTGAGTGGCCACACAAAACCTAGGTATCCTGGTGGTGTTGGGTCTTGATGCTTAGCTCCCAGGCACGGACCCTGATCCCAGTGGGGAGGGCTGCAGAACCGGGCAGAGGGAAGATCTGACCGAGGTCCCACTGCTCTCAATCCCTCGTGAGTCTGGGGAGAAAGAGATGTGTTCAGGCAGAGGCGAAGGCCATGTTCTTAGCAAACATGCGCCGGATCATACTTCTGTCTGCCAGAGACCTCAGCCCCAGCCACCTGCATCACCTTGGCTGCCCAGGCAAAGGGCCACTTGTCATTCCCCAGAGGACACGCGGTGGGCAGGGCAGCCCTGCTCCTGTCCCCGCATGGCCCACCCCGCCTACCTGCTTGTCCTGCAGGTCCGAGGAGAGCTCATAACTCTCAGAGAGTGACCGCGAGCGCTTGATGGCCTCCTCCTCGGCCTGCTTGCGCAGGATGGAGGTCGAGTGCTGCAGCTTGGGCCTCCTCGTGCGCTGCTGCTGCCCTGGTGGCCCCGAGTACAGCCCATAGGCTCCTATTGACGGGTGCTCGTAGTGGTCCGGGCTCAGGCTGGAACCGGGCACTAAGGGGCCCTGGTGGTAGGCAGAGGGGCTGTCCAGGGACGTGCCGGTCTCGCTGCTGGGGGCCTCGCCCTCGACGCTGCAGAGGAGAGAGAAGGGGAAGGCTTCCTGTGACTGCAGAGCCAGGATCTGATAGGCTGCCGAGAGGCAGGAGGTGGCAATGGCTAAGAAGACCCCACACACCTGGTCTCCCTGCTTCCCCCTGCCCGCTGAATGTCTACTAGTCCACACACAGCCCTGACAAGGCCTCTGCACTGCACTCCTAGGTGCCCTCCGACAGGGTTCACTCCCTCTGCAGCACGCACTGCCTTCAAATGTCGGACACAAGCGACTGCCTGCCAGCTTGTGCCTGTCTCCCACACAAGGCCAGCTCTGTGAGAGGAGGCCGTGGCCCACTGGTTCAAGGATGGAACCCAGTGCCCAGAAGTGGGCCTGCACACAGTAGGCACTCAGTAAACACTGATCGGCTGGCTTTGTGGGCCATGTCACCTTCTCTGTCGCATGTCCACCACCTGTGTTAAGCACATTACTGATGTCTTTATTGTGCCCCTCCCCTCACCAAAAAAATGCATGTACCGAAACTGTAACTCCAGTACTTCAGAACGTGACTATCTTTGCAGACAGGACCTTTAAAGAGGTGACTAAGTTAAAATGGGCCCTCAGGGTAGCCTCAATCCAACTGTGTGCTTACAACAGGAGAGATGAGGACACAGACTCGCACGGAGAACATGACTGGAAGATGGATGCCCGGTGGCCAGGGAGAAGTGACCGTGCTGATGTCTGGCTCTGGGACTCGGCCCCAGAACCGTGAGGAGTGAGTGTACCTCAGTTAAGGTGTCCAATGTGTGGGACTAGTTCCAGTAGGCTTGGAAACAAGGACAGTGTAAGACACACATTTTCTCTAAACCTTAAAATGAGTCTGCAAACGAATAATTAACTCCCCTTTTTACAGATGCACAAACCAAGGCCCGTACAAGTAGAGACTTGCCTGCGCAGGGGTGAGCGGGGATGAAAGCCTAAATTGGTGGTACTCTACCTCACTGCCCAGTGTCTACAGGACGATACACACCCCTCTCAACATTCCAAGTGTCAAGTAGAAGAGGACCCCCCTGGGGGGGGCAGAGAAGGACTGGCTGACTCACTCACCCCAAATTCACAAGCTCAGACACTGGTCTCCATTGCATCGTGCTTTTCAGAGCGAGCAGGAAAGAGGGAATCAATTTATACAATGAGTTTCAAGTTCAGAATACAACTTCTGGTAGCCTCTCCAGTCGCCTGAGGGTTTCCCAGTCCCTGTAAAATATCACTCAACCTCTAAAGACCCTCTGATCCCAGGGGTCAGGGTGGAGGTCTCTCTGGAAGTGGCCCTGGGGAAAGATGGGAACACAGGCCCCACCCAGGCTGTGGTCCTTCCTCAATGGTCTGTCTTCAGACCCTTGGGAACGCCTTGTATTCAGCAGCCTTGGGGCCAACCGGTCCAGCCCTGCGCAGCTTGGTCGCCACTGTCCCCACGTGTCACAGGGCCCAGCAGGACCTCGCTGCCAAGTATAGACTGTGAGTCTGTTCAATGACTTGGGGTGGGGAGCAGCTCTAGAAAGACTCAGTTGGGGGGGGAGTGGGGCACAGGGAAGAAGGCCCAGGAGCGGGGAGGGCAAGGCCAGCACACCCAGGCAGCGGGAGGCAGCACGACCTTTGGTTCCAGTTCTGCCTGGAGCCAGGGACAGGCCGCAAATCCCTGCCTGGCTTTCCAACCAGTAGTTTAAGAATAGACAGGACTTCCGCTCCACCAGCTGGCTCCAGCCCCGGGGATGTGCAGTGGGTCTCCTGTGACTAAGGACATCCCTTCCTGTTCCGAGAGTCTGAAATATAACAAAGGTCCTTCCTTGGGGAAGAGCCCTGAGCTGGGAGTTAAGAGACCTGGGGGACCTGGCAATCAGGTGGGCTGCCTGGAATCAAGGCCTACCAGAAGGCTGGACTAGATGCCTCCAAGGTGTCAGAGGAATACCACCCCTCAAGACGCTCCTGACATCACTGGCCCCCAACAGCAGCTTGCTCTGGGCCTTGTGTGGCTGTGCTGGGAGAGGAGAGGGCTGGGGGCAGGTAGCCCATAAACGCTCCTATTCTGGCACAGCCGATATGGTGGAGGACTCTGGGCGCTTTGGTGGTAGGTGTGCTGTGGTAACAACACCTGAAGGTGGGGACCCTATGCTCCCAGGACTTTTGCATGGGCTGTCCCCTCTGCTTAGATCCCTCTAGTCCAGAGCTTTACAGGGACACACTCACCTCCTTCTGGTCTACTCAATGCTGCCTTCCAAGCAAGGGTGACACTAGTGATTCCTAATGTACAATCACACCTCCTTCCCCTAGCACCCCTAGCATTCCTAATCCCTTACTCTGCTTTTATCCCCCTCTATGATGAGCATCGCCTGTAACACAGTATTCCTTCGTCACCTGTCTCCCGCACAGTACGTAAGCTCTGAAGGGCAGGCTAATGTATCCTGGGCTTTGCTGGCTGCTCCCCAAGTGTCAGGAAGAGTGAGGCAATTCCCCAGGCCTGCTGGGCCTGGGCCTGGACAGTTTCTTCCTTCATCCCCATCAGTATCCTCTGTGACTCAACCAAACTTGGGATCTTTGCCCCATAACCTACAGGGTCCTGGGTCAGCCCCTTTACTCCCTCCCCTATAGTCACCCCCACTCCATTCCTAAGCCCTGCTGAATCCATATGAATGGAGCTCCTTTGAGTTGAGGAGGGCGATAACCCTTCCACACCCCCAGTCCATCCTGATAGGAGGATGTGGCCAGCACTGCCCCCCCATAACCGAGGGGGATGGAAGTTATTATGTCAAGAAGGTAAGACCTGCCGGAGCCAGAGAACATCCCTTCTGGGTGGCCCTGGTCAGAAGCAACATGGGGGCAGGCACTGAGAATCTTTTCTTAATCTGAACCAAAAACTAGTTAGCACAAAGAGAAGATGTTACAGTGAAAGCATGCTCAGGAATGTACCCTGCTTCGCGGCTCACAAAGCTGGCCAGCAACAGCTGTCAGAATCCATGCAGACACCCGGCCAGTCTCTGCTTGAACCTCGGATGTTTGCTGACGGCGGCATGCTGAAACTCAAGGCTCGAAGCCCCTCTCCCCCTGTGCTGATTAGTACTCAGCTCTGTCCCCAGCTTTTTCCTGGGGTAGCAGGAGCTGTGAGCAGTACTCATCTCCTCCTCCCACAGCAGGTCACAGATCTAGGGAAGCAGATCTTCGCTGTAAAATGAGGTGCGTGCTTAACCAGGATATACAAGTCTCTTGGGGAGGTGGGGCAGGCCTGGCCCAGTCCTCCCTCCAACCATGGGCTCTGCTCCCCACCCCCAAGTCTTGCTGCCCCACAAGTGTCCCTCACCACGGACACTTCCTAGCTGGAGCGCAACTTCGCCCCAGCCCTTTTGGGACTGACAGCCTGGATCCACCATACAGGGCTGAGGACCTCAGGGGCCACACACTGGAATTCAAGATTTCTCAGACTCCTGGGTCATATGCCAATCAAGGAATGGGGAGGCACCTGTTTCAAATCCCTGATATTCTCTGACAGTTTAGTTTCTGGAACATTCTGTGACAGTTATGGGTGCTACCCAGCTCTTTCCAGTAATGCTCCTGGTGCAGCAATCAAGCCCTGTTGTAGGGAGTGACACTAAGGAGATACAGGATGTCCACTGAGGTGTTTACAGCCACAAAACCTGGGAATAATCTAATTGCTAGTCAACAAGGATTGATTTAAATTAGTTATCATAATGGAAATGATGTCAGGATAGGGGGAGACCTGGCTTGAATGAAAAGGTCCTGGGGAGTTTTTGGTTGGCCCTAGTACAAATTGATGCCATGGTGCAGCTTGAAGTCAGCCACTAACATGGATTAATGAAAAGCCAGAAGCACAAACAGTCCTCTGCTCACGATAGGTGCCAGGTCACAGAGGAAGATGGTGTCTGGGAGCAGCACTGACTGTCCAGAGCCCCAGAGAAGGAGAGTAACCCTGAACACGTGAAGGCACCAGCTCTACCACTGCCACTGGCTAATTGATCACACACTCCCCTCCCAGATCTTCCAAACAGCACTCCACACACTGACCCTGGCTGGCACACAAGGTGAACTCTACTTGCCAACCCCAAATTATAACATGCCAGGAGAAAAACTCAAGATCTAAAGCCACCTCCCACCAAAAGCTGGGACTGTCTGGCCAGGAGGAAAGCAGCCAGAGGGGGCCTGTTGTCAAGCTTCTCAAAGGTTTGACAAGTGGAGGCGGGGAAGAGATTTTTCCTGGGGACAGAACTATGGCAGATGTCATGGGACCCGAGAAAGAATACTCGCAGTACTTAGGACTGCTTAAGAGGTGGTGAACTCCATGTCATTGGAGGTGTGCAAGCTGCAGCAGGTCAGATACCAGCAAAGGTGTGGCCAAAGGACTCCTGACTAGAAGATGCTCTGCGTCGTCTGAACCTGTACACCCCAGCCTGGGTCTCCCCACCACCCTTCATTTGTTTTTCATGGCCTCTGAGAGGCCGCATTTAGGTTTCTGCTCAAATCCCACTTCCTACATAAGGCTACCCCAACTTATTGCAGCCCACACCCCCACATTCTCTGTCACTTTGTAGACTACCCAGAAAGAGTATGTGTGCACAAGTGCATACACCACTTGCCCCTAGGAACCTGCAGACCCTGACCTGCCCTATAAAGAAACACAGGAGTGGTCAGCGGGGGGACCTTCCCAAGAGACCAAGCGCCACATGTACACACAGGCCATGGAGCTGCACCTGGCTCCAGCAGTCCCTGCTTCCTCCTCCTGCAGCCCAGGGGCCCCAAGCTCAGTCACTGGATGATCATCTGAGTTTCTCCCCACTCCAGGTTTTCCAGCATGCCTCCCTCCACTGGAGGCTGATCTGTGTTATTTTTATGTGGGGAAACAGTGCCCTGAGTTTCCGACTGCCTAGGACAATGAAAACCACAGAAGAAAGGACACATTCTGAAGTGCCCCCTCCCCACCACCAAGTCGGGGGGCTGGGCGGGCTGCTTGCCACACTTATGAGCCAGATGTCT